TGCCAGCCTACAGGCCTAGAAGTTGCTCCAAATAGCTGAGGTAATGACCTTTTTTAGGACTTGCGGAGCTGTAGGTTGCCAGCCTACAGGCCTGGAAGTTGCTCCAAACAACTGATGTAATGACTTTTTAGCACTTGCAGAGCTGTAGGTTGCCAGCCTACAGGCCTATTCGTTGCTGAAAAAATCTGCTGTAACTGGTGCAATGACTTTTTTGCAGTTGCAGGGCTGTAGGTTGCCAGCCCACATGCCTAGCAGTTGCTCCAAATCACTGATGTAATAACTTTTTGGCACTTGCAGAGCTGTAGGTTGCCAGCCTGGGCCTAGGGCCCAGGAGTTGCTCCAAACAGCTGATGTAAGGACATTTTTGCACTTGCAGAGCTGTAGGTTGCCAGCCTACAGGCCTAGAAGTTGCTCCAAATAGCTGAGGTAATGACTTTTTAGGACTTGTGGAGCTGTAGGTTGCCAGCCTACAGGCCCAGAAGTTGCCTCAAATAGTCGATGCAATGACTTTTTGCTCTTGCAGAGCTGTAGGTTGCCAGCCTACATGCGTGGAAGTTGCTCCAAATAACAGATGTACAGGATTTGGCTTGGCAGCTATTTGCATCTATTATTGTATAACTGTGAGTTGCCAGCAAACAGCCAGAAATACAATTATTGTATGCTACCCGCGAACCTATTAGTGAGGGAAGCAACGAAGTTCAGACTAACTACCAGTCAGGAACTCTTCCTGCTTTGCCAGTCATCCACATTTTAAGACTTAGATGTTCTATGATGTTGAGAACCATCCACACACACATCCTCCTTGTCCCGACCTCGTGCCCAAAATCCATGCGGATGGTTCCTTACGAGACCTCCCTCCCATGAAAGGGTCCTGGCCCACGGCCCCCGCGTCAAGATGATGTGGAAGGAAAGGCAGAAGACCTTCCGAGTAGGCCGAGACAGGACCCACGTAGTAGTCGAGACTTGGGATCTAAGGACAGTTAAACCGTAAGTCCATTCAATTTCCTTAGGCCTTAGTGGTGTTTAGTTTGTTTGTATGACCAACTCGAGTAGATTGAGATCCAACTGACCGGTATGGGAATCCTGTCATCCCCTCACACGACCGACCGATGAATGGACAACAGGGGATGCTGGTTTTCGAAGACCAGACTTTGGTTAAGGCATGAGATTTCAAAAAGAGTAAGGTGTTTAGTCCCCAAGTGAGTGGATAATGGCCACCCCTATCCTCCATTAAGCACCCCTTCGTGACTCCTGGTATGTACTTATTTGGTGACCTTGGAAAATCACATTCAGTAGGATGACAGTGGAATATGTGCTGCGTTGGCTAAGCTTAGCTTAGGATCCCATGGTAGGCTGCGTCCTGACGCTCCCAAGTTGCACCAGATGAAGGGTTAGTTTCTGCAGCTTCCATTGCGGACAGCGCCGGCGGTTGATGAACTTGACCATGCACACACACAAGCGGGGAGATGCTCAGGAGGTTTGGGCTTCTATGAATACTGAAGGATGATCAATGGCTTCTATAGGCTTCCTAGTCCTACAAAGGACATGACAAGGGCATGTGGGGAATCCATGGGCAAACTTGTTTCCGGGCAAGTTTATGACACGGAAATGGAGGGGGCAGTGCAGGGAACTGGTGTGAGGGGAAACCCGCAGAAGGGGAGCCACATGTTATTGACATTTTTGTTTGATGGCTTTGGGCAGTTTGTAACTGTATGATCGTGAGCATAGGGTGACGCCTCCTTGGTAAAGATACTTGGAAAGTCGGAGACTGTTTGCGAAGGCTGGAACCTCTCCACCGGCTGGGAATGGGGAGGGCAGGAACCTTGCCATACAAGGCTCAATCCAACATCCATGCTTTTGGTACAGTTTTTTGCTACCAAGCCTTTGAGGCCTATACATCCTACTTAGCGTTTAACATCGTTTAGCTATGTTTGTTTAACTATTTTCTTCGGCGCTTGAACCCTTTGATTGGTGTGCTCGATTGTGCTCTCGTTGTTGTTCTTGGAATGCTGGGCCGCAGCCGGGGTGCCCAACGTGTGCAGTGGTGGTTGGTAGTCTTTGGTCCATGAGTAGAGTGGGCGGCTCCCAGTAGTTGCAGTTCCATCAAAGGGACCAACTAGGATATGATGTTTGGTCTATGAAGTTGTTTGTTGCGCTTCGGAGAACCTCCAAAGCATCCTGGTCGTGTTTGGGATCGGCGGGATTCATCCACGGATTTTAGCGATCTGTCAATGTGTCTTGCTGGGGATCGTTCCGAAAGCTTGGCCCTGCAAGAACTCTTGCCTTGGCACTTCCCTGAAAGAATGATGCGGACAACCAAACCATGATTATTGTTTCAGGGAGGGTATGTATATAAATCCATTCTGAGCGTTCAATTCGCAGAAACTGGTTTGAGCACCACCCATTTGAAGCACGGAGGCCTCGGTCATCAATCTTCTTTGGCAACATATTTGCACAAAATCTGTGCCACAAAATCACACAAAGACACATCACCACGATCCGGCTGGATCGGGGAAGACCAGAGCCGCTTCGAGCTCCGGGGTTCCCGAGGTCGATGGACCAGCCGGGCTCGTTGGGCCGAAAAAACGGGCTGCGACGTGGGGGCCGAGCCCGTTGGGCCGAGCCCGTTGGGCCGGGCACGAGAGGAGAGGAGAGGGCACCAAACAGTCAGATGCCATCGGATTGATGCGATGAAGGGCTTTTTCGAAACGACACTCTTTTTTGCCAACATGTTGCCAAGCAACTGGGGGTATGGCGGGGGTGCTTGGAGGAGAAATACTCCACGGATGCTTAGTACGTGCATGGAAGATAGTTTAAGAATGTGTTTGACAGACGATTCTTTGCCGCAGGTATCGGATACCCCCCCACTGGCTGGGATGATCGAGAATGATCTATAGGCACTGTTTGTGTTTTGAACTGGCCTTGTAGCTGCCATTTGGCTCTCGAGCACAGCAAACAAATTACCAAATGAGTACTTTTCATGTGTGGAGCTTGGGTTGGTGTCGTGCCCCCTGTGCACTACACTAAAAGGTTTTGCTTCTGGGGGCAGCGCCCTTGCACTCGGACGTATGGATCGGGCAGTCAGATGCCTCGCCAGTGGCTCAACTAGTAGGATGATTCTTCAAGTCGCCCAAACTCTCAAGGTCAAGAAGTTTGTTTGGGTTTTGGGGCCGTGTCCCCTCCCCCACAGCCCACCTGAAACACTCCAACTTGCACCAGACGATTTGAGGCCGAAATAACTTTGGTTGCGCCCCAAGCCCGTGAGTGAGTTGTCCCTCAGGCCATCAGGGTTCTTTTGTTTCAAGGCTTTTCCTCTTCCTATAACAGGACAGCTAGACCATTTAGCTACTATAGATTCCATTCTTTCCCCAGTTCTCGCTGTTGACTTCGCTGTTCAGAAGAACTCCACCTACCCAAGAGCAAAGACTCCCACTCCACGCGGCCCCTTCTTCCGCGCGAACCTCGCGTCGTTGAACCCCCGCAAACCCCGCCAGCGCCTCCCCTGCCATGGGCGTGTGGGGCACGCCTGCGCCGGGCGCGGCGGGTGTGAAGAGACCCGGCCAATGAGCCTGGCGCGACGCTTTCAGCTGGCGAGGAGGGTCTGCCTCACATGCCGAGAGGACGGGAGAGGGAGGGGTCTAACGTCTAAGACATTGGGATGGAGTGTTGTTGAAGCCTTAGGACCAACTGATGCATGATGTATAAAATATCCCTTAGCTACCGATCTCATAAAACGCCTAGGCAACCTGTTGATCACCTTTTCCGGGCTTTCGCACGTCTTCGTTCCCCTTTTCTTGCCCGACACCTTCGTTGGAGGCCAAAGAAGAGACCCTTCCCAGCAACAGCCGCATGCGTTGCTCGACAGTTTGAGTGCTGATTGTTCGGAGCGGCCGGCGGCCGTTGCCGCTGGGGCCCAGCCCGGGCCTGGCTTTTGGCCGCAAAGGCCCAGGAAGAAAGAAGGATTTGGTGGACGTACGGTCGAGAGTCGAGGTTTGCGAATTGACCACTATATATATATATATCTCTCTCTCTCTCTATGTTGGTCGTGGTTCTTATCAAACATTCAGACTCAGAATCACACCAAGCGACCTCAAAACAGGGCTGGTTTGTTGTTCGTCTCAGCTCCTGTCCTGTCGCGTCCCAGCGCCGTCCCCGCCGGTCCCGCTTATCGCCCAGACGTCTCGTCGGTCGTGTCGTGTCTCATGACTCATCGTCTCAGGTTGGGTGGCGCTGGGCATTTTGAGTCTGGACATTTGCATCAGTCCCTTGGGCACCTGCCTCTCCGGACGACGTGGCGCCTGTGGAGACCGGACGGTGAGGGCGGTACGTGGAACGGGAGGGCGAACGAAGTGGACGGGGGGTACGGTGGCGTTGGGACGGAGGGGCGTGGAAGAAGTGATGTCAAGGGCTTTAGCTCGCTGTACAGCTTCTACTGCCCCTTGTGTTAGATGCAGCGCAAGTCTTTGAATCAATGGAATCTTGCTGGACAGGGGCAAGGAACACAGAGGGCCAAGTCCTTGAGGGCCCAGCTCTCCGCGGCGACCGTTTTGGTGGCCTAGGCTACGTGCCGCAGTACACCTTCGTACCCATCCTGCGGCAAGGGATCTTTGGCACCGATGCGATACGCGGCGAAGAGGCAGGGGTCATAGGCCATAGGCGATGAACGCGGAGGCGACTGCAGCCCTCTGAGGGGACTCATGCAGTTGTTCAATGTTGTTCATCTTCAACAGTTAGGAGGTGACGTGGTTTTGCACCCCTCTGAGCGTTCATGAAACATCTGGAATCTCCACGAATCCTCGTCCATCCAAGGATGCACGCTCTGCATGTGGATGAGGCTGCGATGAACTTCCTGTGCATCCTCTACGCACTGGCGCGGCTTGGGGGCTTTCACCACTTGACCCAACTCTTGCTTGCTTGACATGAAGTAGGGGCTCTGACCAGCCGCCAGCATGTGCATGCTCGTTCTGGACCCACCAGCTCCGGTTTCACCACCCACCCGCGACTCGCACGACGCGCACCGCGACGCGCACCGCGACGCAGCGGGCAGGTCTATGTGCCCGGCGCCTTCGTCACGGGACCGCTGGTGTCGGTGCTGGGGTGTCGCTGGACCTTTGTGCTGGCCACGCTGCTCATCGCACTAGGCAGGGGCGGAAAGCTGCAGGATTTGCTGATATGAGAGGCGTTTGTTTTTTCCTGGAACACAGCGATGGGTACCTAGACCTAGTGACGACCTAGTGGCTGTCCCGCAGACCACGCAACAAAAACACGGCTCACATGTTGCTTCATGATCTTCATGCCTAGCCAGTCGGTGAACTGTCCCTCAGACGTGGAAGTATTTGTTGGGCTAATCTGACAGGGGTATGGTCCGTAGCGGTCAGTCAATTGCTTCGACTCGCTTGCTATCAAGACTGTCAATATGTGAACTGGCAAAGTGTCCTGTAAACACTGCTGGACCGGAGGCTGTGCCTTGCGAAGTGCTTCTTGGACACTTGGCAGAGATGTCTTCCCCACCTCCCGGTGCGGGGAAGGTGGTGGTGTTTCTTGGGTAAACATCAATGAGAAGGGGCAGGTGCTCCGAGAAGCCCGCAACACCTCTAGAGACATGACGTTTGGGCCGGGCCATGTCTGGTTTCCCATGCGCCGCGTTTGCACCGTGCCACGGTGCCGGGGTTTTCACTCATTCACCTGGACCTTCACGGCGGGAGACCCGTGTGGACTGGCGCGGGTCGAGCGGAGCCTCAGGATCAGTCCGGTGGACTCCCATGGGTCGAGACGGCTGCTGGAGATGATGCTGCTTGGAGCGTGGAGCATGGGAAGCTGATGGAAGCTGCATAGGGATGCCATAGGGATGGCATAGGGCTTGTTAGATGGTGTGCTGTGGGGATAGTTGATGGTGCTTGTGAACTCTTGTGAGTAGAGAGTTCACAGTGGGGGTTGTGGCCAAAACTAGACTTGCTTGGTTTACCTCGCACTTTGAAATACTGAATATCTTTGAATCGTATCCTAGAGGGAGGGAAATGGCCGAGGGTATCAATGACTGAGGACAGGTCAACCAACTCAGGTATCCATTTTTGCCCCATGGAAACCCCATCTCCAGGGACCCACAGTGCACCAGAGTAGGTCGGAGTCGGGGTCTTCCGCTTCCTGTCGCCTCCGGACGACCTGATGAGGCCGGTGCCGAGCTGGATGGGCAACTCCGCCTTTGCGTCACCCGACGGGATGGAGCGAGCGGGGGTTTGGTGCTGGACCACAGCATGTTTGTGCGAGGTTGGAATTATGTTGGGATTGTTTGGATGGGTTTGGGCTCTTGTGAATGTAGAATATGTAGTCAACGAAAGGTGTATGGAAAGAGCTGTGAGCCGTTGGCAAATTGGACTGTTTGCCGAAAGCCTGTACTGTGCAAAGCAACGTGTTTGAGGTATAGAAACTTAGAGGGGATGGGGTTTGAACAGAGCCAAACGCATTCCAATGCATCAATCTTGCACGCTAGCCATGATATTCAACCAACCTGAAAACATCTAAAGCGTTCGCCGTCGTTCTTTCCAGCATGCTGTGCAAGCGTTAGACCCTGTGACTGACGTGGACGTCGTCCAAACTGCCTGGGCGACCAGGTATTTGCTCATCGGGCAGGGCATTTGTGCCCTAGGCAACGCGGCGGGTGTGTGGGAGGAACGCGTCGGGTTTGCAAAGCAACCCTGGCCAACCGGGAGTCACCAGTTATCACAGAGTGAGAGGGGAGGAATCCAAACAGAAGAACAGCACTGAAGAAAGAACAAACCACCCATTGTGTTTTGTCCTTTTAAGAAAAAAGGACACAGAACTTGATCCCTTGGCAATTCTTGGGCCAAAGGGAAAGATGCCATGCCTTCTTTACGGTGTTTGCATGTGTTCACTCCTCGAGAACCTCGTATAGGTGCAGACTACGCATGACCAGGGTAAGCTGATAATCATAATTAAATTGTATTGTACAATATAAATCCTATTCTTTAATAGCATATATTCACAAGATCTGTTTCTCAAGAATCAATCTTCCCAACAAACAAAGACCGAACTCCAAGATTCCTGCCCTGCACCCAAACCGTCCAGACCAAGGGCTTGACGTTTTAGGACCTCCTTTCCACCTCTGTTCCTCCGAAACCCTCCGGTATAGTCCGCTCCTCCCACTCTGCACCCCTCCGGTGCTCCCCTCCCCGCGGTTCCCCTCCCGGTTCCCCTCCGTCCCCCGGGTTCGCACGGTTCGTTCGCACCTTCGTTCCTCCCATCCGCCTTCGCCCGAGGCCAGCCGCTGCTGGTGAACTGCACCTCGGAGATGGGCGCCGACTGGTTCGCGCCCAGCGACCGCCCGGCGGCGGCCGCCCGGCCGAGCGGTACGGGCCTTCCCGAAGGGACGGAGGGTCGGATGGATGGGCGTTGCAGGTTCGGATGGATGGGGAGGACAGGTGATCAGAAACCTCAGAGGTGTCAACTTGTGACGAGACCATACAAGACCTGCTTCTGATCCGCCAATGGTGAGGGGGGTGTTTAAGGGGGACCTGGCAGATACATGCAAAGTACAAACCTACACCATCCCACGCCCAGCCGTCTTAAAAGTTTCAACCCGGTTCCACAAATGCGTGCAAAGCTACACCCGTCCATCCTTAACATCTTAATCTGTTCCACTTATAACTACTTCTAGTTTTTTGATCATCGATCTTAGGCCATGATCTCCAACTTGATGAACTTCGTCGGGGGTTCCCTGTCCTTCGTCCTGCCACCACTCTTCGTGGACGACAACCCCAGCAACTTCGTGGCGACTTGGCGCATCAAGGACACGGACACCGAGGCTCCCGGACTTGGTTCAAAAAGGAGCATCTACAGGAAACAGGATATGCCCAAGGCATGATTTCATGTAGATATGCAATTCAAGGCAAAGTCCATCAGAATCCATTGACGGGCATGTCATGTGCTGGAAACTAGAACGTGGCTGGCCTTGTATCCCAACATATCCCAACTGATTGTCACCATCTCCTGGCATCATTGCAGCGCGGCTTCGATCGGGTTTTGGGTTGACTATAGTCACCAAATGTCACGAAGACCACGCGGATTCTTCAACGTGCAGAATGGATCAAGAAAACAGGACTCGTAGTTCCGAGGTGAAACACTGCCGCAGTAGAATCGCACCAGAAACCGGTCCTTACATGTCCTCATATAATCTTATTATTATAGCGAATCCCCTACCTGTGGTTGCTTGAAGTGCTTCGAGCTTGATGTTGGTACAGTTGCGACTTTCGTTAGCCCTTTTGTTGTTCGAGGAAAGAGGCGCGACTCCTTTTTGCGAATTTGAGGGTTATGAGCCCAAGATAGCGCCTTTTTTGCCATGTCGGAAAATTCGAGTGCTCGGACACCGGAGTCTGGGCAGAAGGCATTGGAGGACATCCAGCCGGAGCACGGCGCCTTGGTTCGGCCAGCAGGGCCGCCGGTTTCGCTGGGACCGAATATCAATCCTTTTTGGAGCGAATCGGCCCGTGAAGAGGCTCTCCTAAGGGCATGCCGCCCTGCACATCTTCCTCGAGAAGGGCAGGAGACGACTCCACCACCAACTTCCTCGTTTAGCCCACAGAGAGACCCACCTGAGGCATTCAGAGCCATGATGCAGAGCCTTTGGCAGGAGAATGCACGTCTCTGGTCGGAAAGGGAGGCATTCGTGAACCAGGGGATGTGGAGACAGCAGGCTGGTTCGTATGGACCCCAGCAATCCTGGTTTGGCAATGTCCTTGGTGAAGGTTTGGGGCATGAGAGAAGTGGAATGGGTGCCATGATGGAGGTCATGAAGTCCACGTTTGGCTCCGGTGCAGTTCCAAGGGAGCGGGGCATGCTAGGTGCGTTGTCAGCGCCGGTGGAGTCTAGTGGTGGGGGAATTTTTCAACGGCAAGATCCGGGTGTTCTTCATGGGCTGGGTTCTTTGTCGAGGGGAAGTTTGATGGAATTCTTCAACATGGTTTCCGGCGGAGGGCCGATGAGTTCGGGGCTTGCATTTGGAGGAGTTGACCTTGGGAGAAGGGCAGCTGGTCCAATTGAATCAGGCCTTCCGTCTGAGAGGTCAGCCAGAGCTCCAGTTCCGGGAACCATGGAGCGGGTGTCGGAGAGTCAGCGGGAGAGCAGAACTGGTCAAGAAAGTGGTCCACCTGAACCTCAAGGGGGTCCTAGTGTTGCTGCAGGGCGTCCAGGTGACAGTGGAGAAGGTGGTAATGACCAAGGTGGTTCTGGTGTTCCTCCTGGTGATCCTCCTCTTGCCCGAGATTCGAATGGCAATGGAGAGAATGGTCGGGATGGATGGAGACCGTCAGGGCCTGGCTTTCCTGGTGGAGCGGGAGGTTTTCCCGGTGGTTTCGGAGGGTTTCCTGGTGGTGATCCTCATGGGCAAGGTGGATTTCCTAATGGCTTCTTTGGTGGAGGACCTCCTGGTGGAGGTGGGTTCCCGCATGGTTTTCCTGGTGGCCCTCCAGGTGGACCTCCTGGAGGTGGAGATGGTGGGGCGCCTGCTGGACCATTGGGGCCTGGAGCATTTGGTCAGTTTCCAGCTTGGTTGGGAGGTTTGATGGCCCAACAAGAGTCGGTTAGAGCTGTGGACCTGCCGACTTTGCCTGAACTATCCGAGTCAGAAGTGGGACCGCTTTTGGCTGGTGATTGGTTGACCACAATTGGACCGTTCTTGCGAGACATGAGCACGAGTTCAACATGGTGGTGGGATGAAGTGCTGCGAGTGGCTGGAGCTTTGTATCGAATGTGGCTGGAGTCGGAACCAATGGAGAGACTTCGTTTGGTGCCCATTTCACCTCCAGCTTTTCAGACACCTCCGTGGCTCAGGATTGAGCAGCGGGGATCGGTGGGCTCTTGAAAGCATTGCCGGAATCTTTGAGGTCAGAACTGGTCGCTCAGAGAGAGGTCAGCTCCATCGGGATCATGTTCAAGGTGTTGAGGGTGTACCAACCAGGAGGCCTTGGAGAGAGAACCACCCTCTTGAAGCAGCTCGTGGATCAGAAGGTGCCTTCGCCATTGAGTGAATGGATGCTCGCTCTACGATCATGGAGAAGGTGGCTCACGCGAGTGCAGGAGTTGGGCATTCAACCCCCTGATCCTGTGTTGTTGCTTGCTACGTTGGATAGGTTTGCTGTGGGCTTGGCACGTCATTCCCCACAAGTCGCATTTCGACTGCAGATCACTCGAGCCGCTCTTCGTGTTGACACTGCACCAACGGAGAGGAGCATTCATCAGTTTTCGGAGTCTTTGCTGGCGGAGGGAGAGGCTGTTTTCCATGGAGGATCATCTCTTCCTATCAAAGAGTCGGTCAAAGTGAAGGCGATGGATGGTGAGCAGGTGCAGACGAAGGAGGACTCCGTCAAGAAGGACGTCAAGGAGAAGCCCAAGGAGGGGACAGACCCAAAAGATGCTCGTGATGGAAAGAACTCCAAAGGGGGCAAGGCAGATTCCAAGGGCAGCAGAGATGATCAAAAGGGCAACACTTCGGAGAAGCCAGTTTGCCGATACTTTCTGTCCGATGCCGGTTGCAAGAAAGGTCACACTTGCACCTTTCCTCATAAATGGAAGGGGGTGTCAAAAATGGGAAGATGCTGGAACTGTGGTTCGTCACGGCATATGAGGTCTGAATGCCCAGTCAAGGAGGCTCCCCGTGTGAAAAAGGAGGGTCTGGATGACAAGAAGAGCAAGGAGGTGGAGACCAAACCTGGGGAGGCACCGAGTTCGGGTGCTGGGGCTTCGGGAATGTTTCATCCTCCGGCAGATCTTGATCCTGCTCCTGCTGAGGCATTGGTGAAGGAAGCTGTACAGCTGCTCAAGTCATTGCGGCCGTCGATCAGAGCGGTTACAGTGTGTGCGGTCAACAAGGACCAAGGGCATCTCCGTGCACTTTTGGATGGAGGTGCGACCCACATCCTCAGGCCAGCCAAGTCCAAGGCTGAGTTTGAACAAGCCGTTCCTATCCAGGTGGAATTGGCTGCTGGTGTTGCAACCCTTCGGCAAGTCCAATCAACGGGGACCCTAGTCACCGATTTTGACACCCAGCTGATCGTGCCGCTTGGAAAGGTCGTCAAGTTGGGGTACAAGGTCATGTGGGAAGGAGAGAGCTTTGAGTTGGTGGACCCCACGGGGGTGAAGGTGGAAGTGGTTTTGGAAGCTGGTTGCCCAACGGTAGATTTGACGGTTGCTGGTCGGCTGGTTGAGGAGCTGGAGGATCAGGAGTTGGAGATGAGTCGAAGGGTGCGAGCGCTGAGGGCTGGTGATCCTGGAGATTTGTCCCCGAACATTTGGAGATGGCTTGTGGATTTGAGGAAGATGTGGCCGGAAGTCCCGGATGAATTGCTGGCCAGGGTTGTTCCCTCTGGTCAATGGAGTGGGGAGAAGGTTCCTTTCAACCGCCATCAACGGAAACGCTTCTTCTCGGCCGAGTCAGTGGTGATCCATTTGTTTTCTGGGCCGGAGCAAGCTTGGTGGAGGAAACGGTTGGAGTCTCATACAAGGGCAGTGATTTGTGTGGACAAGTTGGTTGACCCGTCGCAGGATCTCCTTTCTGACCAGTTGGCTAGTTTTCTGGCCGACTTGTGTGAACGGGGGTCGGTGGACGTCATCCTGGGAGGACCTCCACGCAGGACGGTTTCCAAGCTCCGCTTTCGACAACCAGGACCGCCACCGTTACGGGCAAGATCAGGTCCGGAGAGGTTTGCACTGGAGGCGTTGTCAGACCTTCATCGAGACTTGGCTTGGAATGATGCAGTGCTCTGGATGCGACAACTCTGGTTGTATGCGCTGGCTTCTGCTGCTCGAACAAGGGGGGTGCTATTCCTGAAAGAACATCCTCGGGACCCGGAGGAGTACAAGGACCGAGAGGATCCTGTGGAGTACCCTTCGTTTTTTGCCTGGCCGGAGTGGAAAACCTTCATGGAAAAGTTCCTCATCCGGGAGGTTCGCCTAGACTTAGGAGCTTTGGGTCATGAGCGACGGAAGCCTACGACTCTTGGCACCAACGTCCGGTATCTACATCGACTTGAAGGTCTATCGGATCATCGGCGACCTGGTGATCTTCCTGGTGGCGTTGGGGGGTTGGATCAGAGGATATCCACCAGTCGGTCTTGGGCGGCATGGCCTGAGCCCTTTAAGATCGAGATCATCAAGGGCATCCTCCTAGAGTTGGAAGGGGGCAAGATATTGGGAGATGGGGGAGAGTCTATCCCACAGGCGGCAAAAATGACAACGGAACAGTGGCGGCAACATGTCTTGAACGATCATTTGCCGTACTCTCGGGAATGTGCCACTTGTCTTCAAGGAAGTGGGAGAAGCCGCCCTCACAGGAAGGTCCAACATCCAGATGCCTTGACGTTGAGCGTGGACATTTGTGGTCCTTTCAGGCCGGGTCATGATCGATTGGTGGAGCCAAGATACTTCATGGTGGGTGTCTTCGCTATCCCTGTGCGCAAGGTGGAGGGAAAGGTCAGCCCACTTCCGTTGAGCCTGGAGGAGACTTTGTGTGATCGACGTGAGGAGGGTGAGCCAGATGGTGAAGAGGTGCTGCCGGCTTTGGAGGAAGAGGAGCTGGAAGAAGCAGAGAGGAAAGAGGAAGATGCCAAGCGCTTAGAAGAGTGGATGAAGTTAGAAGTGGAGGCTGAGGAGATCGAGATCCAGAACTACACCATGGTGGAAACCCTTGCGTCTCGAAAAGCGGCAGAAGTCAAGGCTTGTCTGGCCAGGATGGTCGCCCGACTGAAGTATTTGGGCCTTGATGTGAGAAGGGTGCACAGTGATGCTGCTGGTGAAATGAGGGGCACAAGGAGATGGTGTGAGGATCGAGGCATCTACCGGACCTTCACTTGTGGAAGTGATTGGAAGGCCAATGGAAGAGCAGAAGCCGAGATTGGAGTGATTCGCCGCGCCATCAACACCTTGATCAGGTCCTCTGGTGATGGAGAAGACTATTGGCCTTTGATGGCGAGGCATGTTGGTGAGCGAAGAGGCCGTCAGCAGCTGGGCACTTTGGGCTTTGTTACGCCCCAATTGCTTCCGTGGGGGCAGAGAGTTATGGTCACCACGAAGGGCTGGGACGACTTCCAAGGTCATTGGAGAGCACGGAAGAAGCCGGGCTTTGTGAGAGGACCAGATCCCAACATGAGCCTCACTAGCGGGGGGCATTTGGTGGAGGTTGAAGACGGGAAGTTCATTCGGACGGATGACATGGTCCGCATCGGCGACTCTGAGGTCAAAGACGTGGTGGAGTTGGCGATTCGGGATCAACTTGGACAGAACGGTGCAACCAAAGAGGAGATTGACAGAGAAGACTTCTCTGGCCAGAATTGGGGGAGTGGAGATTCAGCGCAGACTGCTGAGGGGGCAGGACTGGGCGAATCAGGAGTTCAAGAATGTGGAGGTGCTTCCCATGGAGGAGTTCAGTGTGGCCATGATCGCGGACATGGATATGGAGAATGCCCTCATGGAAAGGTTTCTGCAGGAGTCGGAGGCCGTTGTGAGAAGATTGGAGGCAGGTGCAGCTGCATCGGAGTCGGAGGAGGAAGAACTCTTTCTTCAGACCAGGACTATCGGGCTCAGTGAGGTGAGAAGGACGTTGCCTTTGTGGATCCCATCACTGAAGGAGGAGATCGGGAACTTTGACTCCAACCAGGCCATTCAACGAGTCTCGGAGGAGGAGGCCATGTGTCTGGTGAAGGAGGCGGAGGACAAAGGGCAAAGAGCAGAAATTATCCCAGGAATGGGAGTGTTCACCAGAAAAGCAGGTGACGGAAGGAGACGAGCCCGCATTGTTTGCTGCGGAAACCACATGGAGTCCCGCACTGGTGAAGAGGTCTACGCGCCAGGAGCTGATGCCACTCAATTGCGGTCCACACTTCGGGTCGCCTCACTACGGGACTGGCAGTGCTTGTCGCTTGATGTGAAATCGGCCTTTCTCCTAGCCCCGAAGGCTCAGGGGGAACTGGTCATCGTCAAACCACCAAAAATCTTGGCTGAAGCTGCCTTGGCCCAGCCTGATGAGCACTGGGTCATCACCTCTGCCATGTACGGTCTAGTCACTTCTCCGAAGGACTGGAGTGTTTACAGAGACTCTGAACTTCAGAAGATGGAGGGGAGGGTCACCACCCAGGTGAAGGAGAAGGTGATGAAGGAGGTGGGCTTTGGCTTTCGCCAGCTGGAGGATGCTAATCTGTGGGCGATTCAGGAGTTTTCATCATCTTCTGGAGCCAGGAGCTGGGGGGCCGTGTTGGGCTATATGATAGTGTATGTCGACGACGTGCTGATGGTCGGCCCGAAAGAAGTCACTGACCAGGCGTCCCAGATGATTCAACGGGTGTGGAAAACATCCAATCCAGAGTATGCGGTGCCGGGAGGGGCTCCTATGCGTTTTCTGGGCATTGAGATCCAGCGATTCAAGGACGGCATGTACTACCTTCACCAAGGTTCCTATGTGAGGGAAGTGTTGGAGAGACATGGGGGTGGTGGCACCATGCCGTTCATCAAGGTTCCGAAAAAGAAAGAGGAGGGCAGTCCTTCACTTGCTCGTGTAAAAGAGGCACAGAAGATCACGGTCGAATTGTTGTGGTTGTCCGGACGAACCAGGCCGGATATCTCCTGGGCTGTGATGAAAATGTCTCAGTGGGCAGTGAAACGACCAGTTTGGACGTTGGAGTTGGGAGAAGCGATCCTTGCGTATGTGCGGGGCACGATGGACTTTGGGCTTCACTATCCCATTGGAGTTCCGGTTGACTCAGATCCGGAGCTGGCTAGATCAAAACAGCGAGGACCTGGCACCATTGAGGTGTTGGTGGATGCTTCTTTCAGGTCAGGGGACAGTCACAGTGTCTCCGGGTCCATCATCCTTTTGGCAGGGTGTCCTATTCAGTGGGAGAGCAAGAAGCAGGGCTTGATGGCCTTATCCACGGCAGAAGCAGAGCTCTCAGCATTGATTGAGGGTTTGCAGTCAGGGAGATCAACACGGGCCTTGGTTGAATTGTTGCTTGAGGAGGTGACTTTGGAGCTCTACAATGACAACAGGGCAGCAGTCATTTTGGCCTCGGGCACTGGTGGGGGATGGAGAACTCGTCACCTACGGATCCGTGCTCATTGCCTGGCTGAGGCGATCAAGGTGGGTGAGGTTTCTTTGAATCACAGAGCAGGGTCTTCCTTATGGGCTGATGCACTGACGAAGTCTCTTCCTCCGTCGTCTTTGGAGAAATTCTGCCAAGGGGTCTTCCTACGTCTCATTTCCAATGGTCCTACGGTGGAGAAGAAGGTCCTGGCTAATGAGGAAGTGGGGAGGGTGTCGAGGTGCATGGCTATGATGTTGACAGGGGCATCTTTGCTGCCGGTGGGTGGTGCTAGCGAGGTTTGCGAGAAGGGTGATGCAGATCAAGCACCGGGCGGATCAATGTTTGGAGACCTGGGATGGTTTGTCTTCTTAGCAGGCTTGGTGTGTTTGCTGCACATTGTGAAGGACTTTGGCGTCAGCATGATCCAGCGTTTGATGTCTGGAAGGGAGGAGGTCAAGGTGAAGTTGTTGTCTGAGGAGGCAGTGATGCCATCGAAGGGTTCTGAAGGAGCAGCAGGATGGGATCTATGTGCTTCAATGCAGTGCCACCTGGCTCCAGGTGAACGTCGCCTCATTTCGACTGGAGTGGCTGTTGAGATTCCAAGGGGGTGCTATGGACGCATTGCTTCGCGGAGCTCTATGGCTTCCCAGGGCATCGACGTGGCTGGTGGGGTGGTAGATGCAGATTACAGAGGTGAGTTGAAGGTCATTATGGTCAACCAAGGTGGGGAATCCAGGACGTTCAACGTGGGGGACAGAATTGCTCAATTGGTTGTGGAGAGGATTCCATTGGCACCTTTTGTCAAGGTAGATGACCTGTCTACAACTGCTCGAGGCTTTCAAGGCTTTGGGAGTTCGGGTATAGCAGTGAAGAGTGTCCGGGAGGCGTCAGGTGGGCTACATCGGGAAGGTGAACTTCTACATGAAGGTGGTCTACATGACCGTGGGCTTCCTGGGCATGAACGTGGCTCCTCTTCAGGTGGGGAAGGCTTGCTGAGGGTCCGAGAGAGCGGAAGAGTGATCACTTCTGGCAGAGTTCCAAGCAGCATATTCTTTGAGACCTTCACTTCGAGGGGCGGGGAAACTATGCAGGAGTTTCTGAGGCGCTTGAGGGAGGGCGAACTTCAGTGTTTTGCCTGGCTCTTTGCTGATAGTGTGCTCCGTTTTGTGGGCGAGATGCCTTTGAGCGGTGCACCGCATGAGGTGATGGTCGTGTTTCCCGGGTCGATTGTGACCATGAAGATTCACCGGCATGCCACGTGGAGGAAGAAGCTGTATGACAGTGGCATGTCCACGCCGCCAGCGTCGCAAGGTGTGGCATCGGCGGTGATCACGTTGGCTTGGCTGGAAGATGGGAGAAAGGTGGTTCGTTCCGATGCGAGAAAAGGCAGCCATGGAATGCACTATCTCCAGCAACGCTGGATGGGCTACAGCATCCTGTTTCGGGTCTCCGACATCTCCGAGACAGCTGCTGGTGATGGCACGGGCTCGTGCTAAGGTGTGACGCATTTTTCGGCCGGAAAGAGATGAAGTGAAGAGTTGCATTTTTTCTTGAGGCTGGTCAAAAGCTGTGAACGGGGCTTGAACTTTGGTACGCTGCAACATTCACAGTGGGGTGAATGAAAAGGTGTCACTTCGAAAGCTGCTGTTTTTAGATGGCCGATGACTTAGTGTCTCGAGTGAGAGTGCAAAGGGCTTGAGCTGGGACAAACATGTCCATTTTTGAATGTGAATTTTTCAGTCAATGGTGGGAAGAAAAACACCATATATGTTTGCCGGGATTCAATGTCCTGGAAAATCCAGGAGGGGAGAGCGAATCCCCTACCTGTGGTTGCTTGAAGTGCTTCGAGCTTGATGTTGGTACAGTTGCGACTTTCGTTAGCCCTTTTGTTGTTCGAGGAAAGAGGCGCGACTCCTTTTTGCGAATTTGAGATTATATATACATCGTATTGTTTATCATAATACGTGGCCATATGTTGAATACCCCCCCCGCAACGTGCACCCTGAGAATGGACACGTGGATAACCATTTATATACAACCTAGTGATAGGACGTAGTGGTTTTGGGTTCCACGTTGATCTGTTTCGGGGAGGCACGGGAGCGCGGGAGCCATGTAGGTTGTTCTCACACCTCGGAGACCGCTGTCAGCTGGTGTCGTTCATTCAGACCGACTCGCTGAGGAGATGAACGCACAAATTTCATCTTTGCTGAACTTCCAGTTTCACTCGGCGCTCCTCGTCACACGAAATGACAGATCACAGCGCAAATGCGTGAGGGGTTCATGTGAGGAAGCAGATGTGAGGAAATGGATGGACGCATCACCGAGGAAAACCCCATACTCAGAACGGGGGGGGCTGGACTTTTGGTTCGCAGTGACATTTCTCATACACTCAGCTCATTGAGTTCTTCTCGAATGTACACGAACTGTTCAATGGCTTTCTCCAAGTCCCCAAAAGAGAATGTCTGAAACATCCTGAGACTCTCTTCTGAGGCCAGGTCTTCACACAGGTCTTTTGGATGAATCTCCCGTTGTCACGGCAAGGATGGTGGCCTTCGTGCTCACCCTTTGCCTGTACCGAGACACCGGGCCCTTTGCGAAGGCTGGTGTGCATGTACCTGTCAGATCCTGTCACATGCACTTACACATGCACACACAGACTGCTGTAGGTACTATCTTGTGCCATGTCTTTGGTGCCTTCCCGGGGGACGACCGGTGGTACGGCCCGCGCACGACGGGTACGGTGGTACTACGCGTCCGGTTTCCGTCCGGTTGGCCGCGCAGACCGCAGAGCACCGGCCGCCAATGAACTTCGCTGCGGAGGTGCGGGGTTGGGGGGGGTCGGTCGAACACGGACCTTTCTCGGCGGTCGTTGAAGACGCGGCTTTTCTAGAAGGAAAACCATGGGAACTTCAGGTGTCCATTTATAATATGTCTTTAAATCAGGTGGAGACATGTGGAGCACTTTTTGGGTGAAGAGGCTTTTTGGGACATGATAGCATGGAGAAGAATGGCCCAGCATGGCTCCTTTGCAGCCATTTTTCAAAACAGGTTTCACTTGGTTTCCCTCAGCGGAGCAGAGTTGAGCAAGGTCTGGTGACTTGTGCCTGTGGCATTTTTGGATGCTCAAACGGCTCCAGTTGAAGGTGTCCTAAGCACGGCTGGTCATTCAACACCGCAAAAACAACACAGCTTGCCACAAAACCTGCGGAAACGGACGTCGCTCGATCAACGTGCCCAGTCGCACATGAACCGGCCATTCTCAGTGCGACGAAATGCGCCCAGTGTGATGGAGCGTTCAGGTCAAAGGAATCTTCCGGAAAGCGGACTTTTGGATCATCAATTTCCAGCGCCCCGGATGGGTTTGGAAGGGTTTGGGGGGTTGAAGCTGCGGTTCCATCGACGGGATGGTGGGGGACTTCTTGGCCGGTCAGCTCATGGATGTGCAGATCAAGCGCCCAGTGATGAAGACGGCATCCCCAGACAGCTTGTGTTTGATGGACTCCGTATGGATTGCGGCCATGATGGAATTATTCAGTTTTACATTGCCCCCCCATTCTCCCACTCTCTTGCACTCTGTCGCACCGGTCTCCATAGATTCTCTAGTTGAAAAAAAAGACCGTCTCCACGCACGAGCTGAGGTTTATGATTTACATCTCCATCGGCCATGCTTTTGATGCAGTGGAGGGCTCCCTGCTGGAGAACTATGGCAGCTTCACTGCCTGGAGTCGTTTTTTCTCGCGTTTTGCCCGCGAGATGCGGGCAATTTGGGGCGGTTTGAGACTTGGGTGGTGCCAGTGAGAACCAAGAATCAAGAATTGACAAGCATAGAATCTAAATCAGTCTAAATGAGTTTGAATACTCCAAGAAATAGAGGGCCCATGCAAAGCACATATATCAACCTGAACAACCAAATGTGAGCATATACTATAGGTGAATGTACATGACCAACGCGGTGATTGAATGGTCGGATGCTTCCCCAGAAACATCAACACATGTCCTAGGTCCCAGACCCACCCCAACTCATCAAGAAAACATGTTTGATTCCGCCAAAAACATATTATATATACACGCGCAAAACAAACACAACATCTCCCAAGCCGCTTGGATTCTCCCCCTTTCCGCACACGTGAAGGCTACAACGCCTCCTTGACGAGCTGGACGGCCATGGCCTGCGCGGTGACGTCCATTTTGAGCACCTCGGGCCGAGCCGCCGGTGGGTCCTACGGTGGGTCTGGCCGCGGTCCCTTTGCTCCACCAATTCGGTGCACCGTGATCTACATCCCGATGATCTTAGGCTGGGCTCAGGAACGGAAAACGACCTGTCGACTGACCGTTTTTCATCCGGTTCGCAGCAGGTGAAGCACCCGCGATCGCATCAGTAGCTTCGACGTCGATCGGAGCTTCCGACGGAGCTTCCAGCGTCAGCGTCGATGTCCATCGGTCCATGAGTGTTGCTCGCAGCGTTGGCCATGCGATGGAGTCGAGATAATCCCGTAGATAGCAACCCAACATTGTAGCTAGGCGGTCCGTACTGGTCAGTCCCCCCGAAAAAAACACTGTACTGACCGAGGTCCTAGTACAACCGGGTGACAGATTGAAACATTTTTGAAACCTTAAAGCTCGTTTGAAGGAAACATATGTTACAGGAACTGGAACCGTCGTTCAGGTGTCCGGTCGATTCTTTCCCAGAAGGACCTTCCGAGTGTCCTGGAGCACGCATCGAAGTGAGGCACCATGGTGGAGGCGCGGTGTATCACTTCCGCAGCCTATTACCAGGCGCGAGCCGGAACCGCTTCCGCCGCGGCTGCGCCGAGCCCCGCGGTGGCCGGCTGACGGTGCGCCCGGTGTGGTTTCGGCGTCTTTGGGGAGGAAGGAAGGAGCTGGCCGAACCGGAACCGCACTGTTGGGTGAAGGATGGCAGACCACAAGAGGATGGCAGGTGATTCGAATCAATCTGACAGACGTTTTTTACATGACGGGCTGCTATGACGGGCTGACCCGATTCGATGCTCGAGACTCGACCTGTGTCACGACCTGCGCGGGTTTCGCTCGCAGGCGGCTCTCTTGATCTCCAATGCCTTCATGGCGATTTCCCTCCTCATGGGCTATATGTGCGGAGCTGTGAACATGGGCAGGGATTCTCTTGATGGAAGACAATCCGAACAGAAGAGCAACACCTGCCCTTCACCACATGTACATGCTTCCGTCCTCCTCCGTCCTCCGTGCTCTTCACCGGTGCGGTGACGTCGCACGAGGTGTTTGCACTATGGCTGGTCTCCGGGCATGTTCATCACGGCCGTGGGCATCATGGGCTTATCCACCCCAGGAGAGTCTCCACATGTCTCTGCGTCGTCGATGCCGCGAGATGGCCGCGAGACCACGAACGGAGACACGAGAGAGAACTTGGGGTGAGACGCAAAAGGTTCACTTGAAGCCAGGTGAAGGGAAGGTTGAAGTTTGGTGTTGAAGTTTGAGATCTGAAATTGATGCGAGAAATCGCAGCTGTATGATTAGTTTGGATGGACACCCTCTCCATCCCCCTACCTGTCGCTCAACATGTTTCTGGATGAAAGAAGGAATGTGACTACGTGTAGTGTAGTAGTGTAGGACTGGTGGGATGGTGAGAATGATTTGACTTCATGATGCGTTGTCTTTTTTTTTGAACTGCAAATTCCAATCGCCGATTCTAAAGCAGACATGGCAACTTGTCCGTTTTCCATGAGAGCAAACAAAGAAAAGGGTAAAGTTGAGAACTTCTCATTTCCTAGTAAAGCAAAGGGGAGGCCCCGAAGCCCGCGCCAGGATGGGGCTGTTCCGCCGAGCTGGGCTCGGAGGTGCCCTAAACCCGCGCGGTTGGCTTCTCAGGGCCGTAAGAGCTGGGAGTCCAGTCGACTTTAGATGACCCAAAAAGGACTTTCCTTTACATTTGCGGGTACCAAGTATAGTCTTTGAACTTCTAGGGTAGGGCATTAGAGCTGGTTGGAGTCGGAGTCGGAGTCTTCTTGATGTCTTGTTGTTGCCAAAACTACCACCAGTTGACCAGTTGACCAGCCCATCTTTACAGAGGAAGCTGCCCCGCCCCATCCCGGAGAGTCGTGGAAGCATCGAGCAGAGTGCTCAGGGGCGCCCCACCCGATGCCCGACCACCCTTCGGGCCGACGGTCGGGGCATCCTGATCGATTTCCTTTGTTTTATTTCTACCACTGCTGGGCGACCAGCACCTTAGAATCGAACAATCAAGTGCTCCTCCAGTGCAACCCCCCGGTGTGTCCTCGATTCGATGGTCATTCAAACATAGAATGAGCATTTGATGAAGTCAATTAATTTAATCTTCCTTTCCACGGCCATTCAAGGAGACCTCAAAGAGGTGGTGCTATCCTGAGGTGCAGGGTCCACAGGCAGAGACGCCGCCAGGGGGGAACCACTCGTGTCCGTGTATTTGATGGTGAACAGCACGGTGCAGGTCTGCTTCCCCGCACGGGAAGCCACGGTGAACAGCTTGCTGGAGGCACATTTGATGTGGGGCACAGCGACTCGACGATTCGGTGAAGCGTGTCACTTAATTCCCAGACACTCCACGTATGCCATATGCCTACATTGACCCCCAAACCCACTCCAATGTAGGCATATATATATATATGCATATATGGCATACATGATACATGGAGTGCCTGGGTATAGACCTCCAAATAGATAGAAAAGTTTCCATCCCTTTCAAAGTGCCTTGGACACCGTTTCTAAACGAAAAAAACTGGACCACGATACTGGATGCGGCTGGGTGCAGAAGTGTAAAGGAAAGACCATCGCTTCCACTCGACCGTCAGGGACCGGAGGGCCTTGCACGTCGACCGTGGAACCGTCGACGTGTTGCGGTGGTCGCCGGCAGGCCTTCAGCAACATGGCCGGCGTGGCATCCATCGCTCCTCGGACGATTCGGACGATTCGGACGGGTGGATGGCGCGAGGACGGATGGATGGCCCCCCACGTCTCGCGTGGCACAGAATCGGTCCATGCGGGCTGGGCAGGCTGGAGGGGGGGTTGAGTCAAGACATGTCAAGACTCACTTAGATCATGCATTGAACGGTGTTGAACGTATCATGATCTATCAATCAATTTCTATCCAGATGCGGTTTGTGAGGTTTCCTGGGATTTCCTGGCATAACGATACGGGGCTCCTGGAAAGGATTTTCCCTGAACAATACCCTATTTATCCCTATTTGACAGTGCTGCCAATTGCCAAAGAACTGGGGGGGCGTTTGAATCCTAAATACAAACACCCTAAACATCCCTGAGGAAATGATGCCAGCAGCAACTTATAATAATTAACACATTCAGTTTTTGTTTGTTCCATACTGATACAGTAATACTCATGTATATACTCTATATTATTCCATAGTGGCCTTGAAATGGACCAATTGTTCATGAATCCCCTTATTACATTCCCTTCAAACACATCTTGAAAGTTAACTGTTGAAGGAAAAAAACCTGCACCTCCTGCCCCAAATGCCATACATACATGGTCCAGTAGTTCCATGGTCCAGGTGCCGGTTCCGAACGGAGGAAGGAACGCCGTGCCAGCCGCCTAAAGCCAGCCCCCTGCTCACATCCACTCACTGGATGTGACATATGTGACTCCTGGCTGGTTGTTTGGTTCAACCTCTCTCACCGCTTCGGACCCTTCCACCGCTCGAGGTCTGGGCACAGGATGGGATCGATGCTCACTTGGGCGCGGCCGCCGGACAGCTCAGAACGGAGGGGACCCGGTGGAGCCGGTGGAAGTCCTCAACGTTTGAAGCTCGGGATGGAAAGACTTGGGTACGGAAACAAGACTTATTGTATATTATTTACTCCCCAAAGGATTCTTGGATATTCTTGGTACTTGCTCTATGATTCGGTGATGAAAGGACTTGGTATAGTTGGTAGTCCTTTCTCCAGGTGGTCGCCCGCCACCTTTCGTGTGACATTGCATATCGTGACTCCTCCAATTGTGGCGTATCGACATATGCTGCGCCGTGCCATCCCAGGGCGTGCGCTCCGGTGGTCACACTTGGACCGGAGGTCTTGAATGGGACCATGTGCCGATCAAAGAGGTGCTCTTGAAGGGTTTGCTGTTGGGAATGGTGTTTTCGCGACAATTCTCAGCCCAGCTAAAATCACAATTTCAAAGTGCAGCGATCATTCCAAAATATTCCAAACGTGTGGTGTGATGCAAATGCTGCTAGAGACCCGAAAGCATGGTGCTGTAGTCACTTTTTCGTGGCCGCAGTGCGTTGTGAGAGTGTTGGGAGTGGCAGGGAAGCTCTGTCCAGTCTATATAATTCCATCAAAAGACGTCAGAAACCAAACATGCAAAAGGCAGGCATGCCAGGCATGCGGCGTGCGGCGTAAGTAGTGCTCCCCCCAGGAGCCAGCCGTTTCAAGTGCTTTGGAGCTTTTGATGAATGCTTTCATGAGCTTTCATGTATGCCCACCGTGTCGGTTGGAAAAGCACACCTAGTTTTTGGAAACGGTGCACATGAGGCACCATTTGGCTCTAGCAAACAGTTTAGCAGTTTAGCAGAACCTCTTCAAAAATCGCGCAACGCGCCTACCAAAAGAAACCTCGATCGCCATCCAAAGCGCTTGGGCGTTGTCTTTTGGACCGCCCAGCGTTCACCCCAAACGTCGTGGATTGCTGTGTTGTTTGCGTCGTGGGCGTCGAGGTCTTGGCCGTGATGGCCGGCTCGGCGGTCTTGGGCATGGCCGTGCTGGGATGCCTTTCAGGCTTCCCCGCCGTGGGCTTGTCGCGGTGGTCGATTCCCCTGGTCGATCTCGGCGACGACGGCTGGGGATGATCACGGGGAGAAGGATGGGATGGAGGTGGAGGAGTGAAACTTCAATTTGGTGCGGTTGCTTTTGAGGATCTCAAATGAGGGTATCAGATGATCAGATCAGTGCCAGGGGTGAGGGTAAAGGATGGTACTTGTAAAGGCATGCTCCCCCCAAAGTGGTTATTGACATTGGCTAGAGGGGCGGGTGAAAGTGACATTTAGCGTTTTATATAAAGATTGGAACAAAACCTTCCAAATACCAACAATCATAGGACTGCATGAACGACTCAACAATGTATGGCAATTTACAACCCCAAGCTCCATATTGTCACGGAATATTTCCGTCCATTGGAGTCGTTTCAGAGGCCAATGGAAGAGAATGGAAGCAACCATCTCACACATGAGTTTTTGGGAACCTCATCCCGGTGTCTATGTCTTCCCTCCTTTATGGTGATCGGGGGAACCTCATCCCGCCCACTGTCAGCTCAGGGCGCTTGAGCCGCATGGAGGCAGGCAGAGCGACCGATCGGGTCAGGCTGTGGCTGTGGGATGAAGATGTGAGGGTCGGTGTTGGTTGGGTGGTGATGAGCCCTGATAGACGCATGTAGATGTGGTTTGTGCATGTAGTTTGTAGTTTGTAGATTGGATCTTCATCCCTGGCTCCCCGGATGCGCCGGATCAACACGGCCGGCGGCCGATCCCGGGAAGTCGATCCCGACGTCTCCACCGGCCGCTCAGACGGAGAAGAGCCCACGGGCAGAGGCGCCCAGCGGGGGTCGGGAAGCGATCCCGGTCGGTGCCCTGTTCTCCCCGGTGCACGAGCGAAGCCGTTCAGAGTTATACCCCAGAAGTCCAGTTCGACTATATTTTGACCGGCTGAAGGAAAGGAAGTTCCCAAACTCAGGTCCCCTAGTCAGACCTGGTCTTTTTATATTTTTATATCTTTTTATAGTCTTTGACTCCCAGGGTATATATATATATGTTTTTGGTCCGGGCACCTGCGTAAGTACGGGCAACATGGCAAGTTAATTGTTCTTGGTTCGTTGTATCTTGTTATCGGTTAAAGCAAGGTAATCTTGTTATCGGCAAGAAACCACATGATTTTTACTTCCATACAGTACCCCATTCTTTGTAAAGACTATGGGAACTGGGGCTTCCATCTTGCAGTGCAGGATCTTGTCCAAGAGTATGTCTTTCGGGCTCAAAGCAACCACAAAATATTCTTCCAGAGGTTGCTTTGCAGCCTGGCACATGACAGGCTTCCTTCGGTATCCTTCGTTTTTTCGTCCTTCGCTGCTTTGTCAACTATGGATGCCTGAATCTGCCTGCCTAACACCATGGGTCAAAGGCTGATTTGGTCATGTTGGACGGATGACGTCCGTGGAGGGTCGCAGGATGTTCCACGGCGGTGAGACCGTGGAACCACGGCTTTGGTCGACCACACACGTCGCGCCGAAGCCGATGGGCCGTCGCACAGGAGGGCCTCGAAGAGGGCTACGAGTCCTCGCAGGCGCGGGACAGCGAGGAAGCTTGATAGACCAAGAGGTTGTTTTCCTGAGGTTTCTTGGACAAAGGGTCGCCAGGGTTGCTGGAAGTCCAAAGAAACCAACAGAAGGTGAAGAAAACCCTGCTTGGTATAACCGTACCATTCGTCGATTCGACAACATTTGGTTGCTGTAAACAACATCACCATGAGAACTTCGAACCACACACGCTGCCCCTGGCCGACTTTGGTCCCTGACAGAAAACTTCGATGGGACGCTCGCATGCTCTTAGTGGATCTCTCCGACTCTCTGGGAGAAACCATGAGGAACTCATCCTCCAGTCCAACCTACGACCGTGATGGACCCGACCCCTGCGGCGCCCGAGCTCACCAGGAGCTCACCGCCGTGCGGCCCTCGCCACCCGCCTTCCGGTATCGCACCAAGGCGGACGGCGCGTCGTCCGCCCGCCGCGGGGTTCCGGTCGACCGGTCGCGCCCCGTGCGGACCGGTCGTCCGTCGTGGGCAGCTGATCCGACGATATTTTGTGGATCGAGATGTTCTCCGGTGCAAGGGACACCATGTTGCCAGAGCTGAAGATGCGTGATGGCCTTTGTAATAAATAGGATATATGTTATAACTTATAACTTTATGAATCAACAGCCAAGATTACCAACGTGATGACCATCGCATCCGCGTTGCCATCGCCCCCCAGATGGCCTTTCTCCTCTGGGCCATTCTGCTGAACTTCGCCGCTCGGGCTGAGACGTGGAGCACGTGAGACCGAACGTGGAAGGACGTGGCTGTGGGTGGCGCCCGGAGCGGAGCACTGAGCGTTGGACCTCCCTGGTTGGACCTCCCTGGTCCAGCAAGGTGTGCTGGAGCCATCGTTTGACGATATGTCTCACAATGCGATGACCAAGACGTAGGGTCTCGAACTATGCCGCAGTAAGCTGTAGATACCCCAGAACTAGCACAGTGGGCCACTGAAGTAGGGCACTGTCCCGAGGGACGACGTACCACTCGTGCTCCTAAGGTGAGCGTCTTGATGACCGCCACGCCGCTCGGAGATCAGCGGGAGGGTTCATAACCCAGACTCCATGTATGCCATATATGCCTATATATACATTGACCCCCAAACCCACCCCATGCATATATGGCAGTCCCATTAGTCGTGTCTGGGTTATGGTTCATGGGCCGATTCATGGGATGAGAAGCCGGACCTTTGGGCGCCATGCCCGGACCATTGGGTAATCCGAAGCATTGCAGCCAAGGAGATTCGACCGGCCCGGCCGGCCATTTCGGGCTGATCCGCTGAAGAGATCCGCTCTCCAAGAGCCGTACGATCATAGTGGACTGGACCCAACGGAGCTGATCCCCTTCAACTGCGCCGAGGACCGCGCAGTTCCTGATGCCGCAGATCCTCTCGGAGCCGCCGCATCTGCCGGGGAGCCTGTAGACCAGTTGGGTTGTGGAAGACGCTATGAATTGGTAGGTGGCAGGGGGGAGCAATTCTTTTGTTTGTTTTTTAAACGTTTTTATGTTTAAATATTAGTTTTAACCGGTTTTATATGAGCATCCGACAAATTCTGCGAAGACTTAAGCAGTCACAGGGTGGACGTGGGATAGGAAGCCTACCAAACCTGCCTAACCGATGGGGGCCAACCCATTCTAGGCTAATGTCCTTGGGCTAGCACAACTTTGTCCGGTTCTCATAGCAATTGACTTTCATTGATCCAGACCTGCAATATAAGGACGCACAGATCAGTTGTGTAATGTTTGTTCCATTACCTACACATCTGCTGAGTAGTTGCTGGGTTTGAACTTTGTGAGAATTAATGATAATTAATCCATTGGACCGTGGGAGTTGTAGCTGGGTCGCAACCTGTCCAGAATTTCAGCATATTCTTTGCCTTGGACCGTGGCAACCAGGCGGAACCCGCGCTCCGCTTGCCAGGATCCCCAAGAAGCACAAGAAGAAGGCGGTGAGGTTGAAGAACGGCTTGAAGGAACCCAGGCCGGAACGGGGGGGGTTGGATGACATCCACCCTACTAGCAAACTATAGCAAACTATATTAGACCCTTTCTGTGTTTCTAATACTTGTAGCAATAGCCTCTACCCTAGTAGCGATGGCCTCCAACGTACTAGCGATGACCTCCAACGTAATAGCGATGGCCTCCACTCCACTAGCGATGGTCTCCACCCCACCATTGCAAGAGATATTGATTCAATTGATCAATGTCACATATGTAGCGTGCATTGGAGGCTTTGGGAAGATCGGACATGAGCATCCCTTGACATGTCTACGTGCCTCTAGATGGTCTTCATGAGAGTTGCCAGTGAGTTACTGTTTGAGGCTGGGGGATGATGGACTCAAAACCCTGAGTCATGAGCCTCAACAATCCTTAAACACACCTCAACAAAACACTATAATATGTACACTACCAGCACCCTCCAGGTCTCCGAAATGGAGGCTTTTGTAGACTTAAAAAAGTCGCAGGTGGTGACCTGCCTTGGCAGGTTTCGGGTCCTGGTAGATGAAACATCAACAGCCCACGAGATCATCACCCCACGTCTTCGGACCGACAGGACGTGGTTGCTGGACTGCACCGAAAAGCATCAAGGCTCACACCGCGAGAAGATCATGAGCCAGGGCCCCAGGGGCCCGGCCCCAGGGCCGCTGCGGGTACCGGAAAGTCAAGCAGCTACTTATAAGGGTGTTGTCTTCGTCCACTCAGCAGCTTGGGAAGTCCGAGCCTCGGCAGCTTGGAAGCTGGCCAAACTCGGGTTTTCGTGGAAAAAAACCGCCCGGGCGGAGCCTGGACCTCTCGCTTCCACACTGCTGTGAGGTGTTTTGACCAACAGCAGTGTGGCCTTCTTCCCCTGCTTGAAGGGCCGGTCCAGCCTGGCAGCCCAGCGCGGCGGGTCGCTTCGCCGGGGTCGCCAGCTGCCGGGCTGTGAGGAGGGTGAAAACCATGCATCGTCACAATCGGATGCGTCCAGATGCATCTATATAGTGGTTTCATATGATTAAACAAGCTGATTAGAGTGGTTTCAGAGTAGATCGCACAAACCCCTACTATTTTCGTGGTTCTATCGGTTCGCTTCATTCGATCCAATCACCAGCTGGAACGGCTCCATCTGCCGAGAGGGTCTTGAAGGGGAAAGGGTGCCTTCGAAAGGCTTCCGGGTAGGCAACCCTGAGATTCCCTCTTTGCCTCATTGTCATTTGACCTGTACTTCAAAAAGTGGTGGATGCTGCAGTCGCCATCGTTCCGCCTGAGCATTTCTATCCCATCGCCTCGCGGTCTTCCTCGGCCTCGCTCCGCCCCGTGGCACCGAGACCTGGCGGCCTCGATCGACGATGGGCTCCTGCCGTCCTCGGCGCGAATGGCCTTCAGCAGTGCCGTCCTCGGCTGGCTTCCGCGGGAGCAGGGTGAAGGGAGGGAGGGAGGGAGGGAGGGCTGAGATGCATCAGGTGAAGGGAGCCGTAGGAGTGATGAATATGCCCCGAAGTTCCATCAAAGGGGGTGCTTAGATCATGGAGAGTATCATGGAGGTTAGGGGTGCCAATTGATCCACTTAGGGACTAAACACATCTAAGCACCCGTTTGTGACTCCTGGGGTATTTGAATTAAGAAGACCCCCCCACGTCCCTTCTCCTGGTGGCTCCGGCCCTATGCCCTAATTAATGGACACGTACCAGCATGGATGACCGTTGGATGGCTGATCATTGCTGGGTGGAGTGAGAATAGGACACAAGATGGCACAAGTAGCTTCTTGTTCCTAGTAATACCAGGAACTACTAGTAGCGTCCTTGTTTCTAGTAGCGATGCCCTTTGTTCCTAGTAGCTTCTTGTGTAATCCCTAAGATTCTTTGCCAACATCTTTGTGCAGGACAAGGGCACCACGAGTGACATCCGTAGGATGAATCTGTTCAACAAAATCAGAAACAGACTTGATGGTCCGTGCGAACCTGCTGAACGGACTGTGTCAACAGAATTGCTCCACTACCTTGCTCATCCCAACATATCCACCAATCGTTGGCAACTACAATGGATTCATCATGATTGATGGGGCTTCAGGTTTTGATCCATCCCACAGGATCCCACCAGGTCGATCCATTATGATCCATTCACGATCATGTGAAACGACGTACGTCGTTCAGGCTGAAGCGATGGAGAACGGTACACTTGAAAGGATGACCGTTAATGCCAAACAGGTGGTGTTCACTCCACGTGACCATTTACAGGAAGGCTTTTGAGGTTTTGACCTCCACTGCCTACCACGAAAAAAAAGGGGTCTCAAACGCAGGGTCATTCCTTTCCACAGGCTGTATGATGCGGTATTCACGGTATTGTGGCTGTGCCGGAGTTGACACCAAGGCTTTGACCCCTTTCCCACGTGTGTTCAACGTCAAGCCATAATACTGCCATACTGCATCGCTTGTTCCAGAAGCCCAGCCCATTCAATCTGCACCCCCCTTCTGCACTCACCGTTGGCTTTTGCTGGGTTGTTTCTGCCACGCGCGACAAAAACCGTGAAATGCGCAGAAGATGCAGGTTCACCTACGATTCGCCTAGAGTTGGCGTGACTTGGTGTGGAGGAGACCTGTGCCGCTCGTGGTGGTGTGGGGTGAGCCCTTAAGAGGTTCGAGAGCACCAAGATCCTCAGTGGCTGAGTCAGAAAACGGACTATGCTTTCACCATGCTTTCGAGAAAATGGCTGGCTTTCAGCATGCTTTCTGTATCTTTCTGTGATTCTGGTGTGTTTCTCTTCAAGACCAACAGACCATGACGGATGTGTGACATGTGTGTATGTGTGTGGGTGTTCACCAGTGCTACAGGCGGCCAGGACACACATTATTGGTTACTATACATATATGAGAAAACAAGAGATCGCTGCTTTGTTTTGTACGACTGCTATGGTCGGTTCTGGGGATGTGTGCTTTTTGACTGGTTTCAGTCCAGTGATGTCCCTTCATGGATGATCAATAAGCGTCCAGTTCTTCTTTACGTGGTACCAGGCCTCCCGTCCGTTCCGACATGAAGATCCTGAGCTCCTCTTCTCGTCCAACCCCCCCGCGGTGGACTCCCCGGTCGGCCATCGAAGCCGCGCGCCGAGGAAGGCGGCAACCCATATGAAGCTGTGGAAGAACATGGTGCTTCAGCTCTTTGGATCGAAGGAAGAGCATCCAGGTTTGACAGGTATGGTGGATTGAGAGTAGATGACACAGACCCACAGGGTCGGTGGTTCATAATGAACATTGATGAACCCCTTGTAACCATCTGTAAGCCCTGTATATATCTGTAGAGGACATCTTGAGGTCTGTGCCATTGACTCCCTTCGACATGTTCGGCTCCAAGGACAGCTTCGACATGCCTCGCCATGGGTTGATCAGTGGGTTTATCATGAATCTGCATAGATTCACTGAGGTGCAAGTCTGGCAACAGTTGTGGGGTGTTTCTTGGGTGGGGAGATGAATGAGGATTGATGTGATGATATGTTGCTGCTGCGATGGTTGCAGATGGTTAAATCATCCGTGCAACCCAGGGCACCCGTGCCAGCCAGAGAAGGTTGGTTGTTTTCAGAAGCATTTGGGGGTGTCTTGGGAGGAAGTTGGGTTTTACAGTTTTTAAATTGGGGGGCTGCTAGGAAGGGTTCCAATGCAGTTGTGCAAAGAGGTCCTGCTTAGTGCTCCCCGAGTGAATTCCGCTTCAGCGTCGGCTCGTGCGGCGAGCGAGTCGACGGGTGGGGGGTGGTCGGCTCGGCTCAGGAACATCCCCAGCGCAAGCATTTTGGAGGAACGGATGGGCGCTGCGTCCGGAGAGCGTGGTCATTCGTGGTCCGGAGAGCGTGCGAACTCGGACCGAACCGTGGGAGGTAAAGCGACGAAGTGGCTTCTTCATGGGAAGCACGGTGTAGATGAGCAAATAACCTCTCCAAATAAGCATAAAGCTTCCCCACATTTGCAAACAACTTCCCCACATTAGCAAATAGCTTCACCAAATTTAGCAAACTCTAGGCCAAAAAAGACAAACAGGCCAACACAGTCTCCAAGTTACACCGTTACAACCATCCAGCACAGGCTTTGTGCCAGGAATTTGCCGTAGCTGCTACTTGGTTTGGGGTGAATGATTTTGCAGCTGCATTCCTTTTTGACTGTACTTGGTTCGATGTGTTCCAAGGCTCTGAGGCACCTCCCCAGAGCCACAGCTGATAGCCGGCAACGGAACCCTACTGACCCGCCAGTCACGATGGTTTGAAGTCACGGATCCACGAGACATCCAAACCCGGAAACGGATGGAATCAAAGCCAACTCGCAGAGAACACGAGTGACATCACGTTGTCCTGCTTTTTTTCAAGGGCTGTCAAAGGTTGTTGCATTGCTGGCTTTGGGATCGGCAACCTTGCCCAAATGGAAGGACTCGCCAAACCAAGCACATCGATGGATCCCCCACTTCTGCAGCCAGCCGCCAGCTTTGGCTTTTCGCCAGGACTCGGAGAGCTTGTGTTCCAATTTCCGGCGCAGGCCGTGTGTCGGATGAGGGCGACAGATGGGCGATGATGATGGGAGGGCTGTAAAAGATGAACTGCCCCATGCAATGCCATGCAAATCCAACAGTTGCCCGACAAGAGTTTCTTGCATGTAATTAGTCGGACTTTAGCATCCTTTTATGATTCTGAGCCATGCGATTCTGAGATGTGTTCCTAGCGCTGCAAGCTGGCAAGCACACGTGGCGAGTTTTTGGGCGCTCTCGGGTGAGCCGAGAGCGATCGCTGACGTGCGCGTCGCTGTCATGTCCGTGAAATGCCGGAGGGTACGGTCCGTGACCCCGTGATGTCCGTGACGGGTTCTGGGCCAAATGCTGTTCTTCAACAAACCATATGTGACCCCGTGACACCGTGACGGCCGGGCCACATGAGGTTCTTCAACAAACCATATGGGACATCGTCCCATCTCCATCTGCGCCGAAACACGCAGGCGCAATGAGCTGCTGGAGCGGCTCCCTTTGAAGACGGACTTCGTGGCCTTCAACCCGTGCGTGCACTCAGCGTGGACTCGGTGTGGACTCGGTGTGTTAGGTGAAGACGTTTGTGTTTTTCTCAGCAAGACGGGGGTGGAAGTGAAGCATAGGTGTGGAAACGTTTGGAGGGATGACACTGCCTGCAGTGGAACCACGACTGGCCTTTCCTCCGCATGCTCTACCACGGCGGGAACAGAGAAGTGAGTTAAGATCAACCTGATGGCGAAGGGGTGAACCGGTCAATGTGACTTGAAGAGTTTCGTGGATATGAGGTGAGAGGATTAAGATCAATTAAAGATACTATAATTAGTTAAGGTGAGACACATGACATAATTTATAGTGATGTTTAGTGGAGATTGAGTGTTGCCATTGCCATTGCCTACAGACGAGACTGACGTGCAACCATTCAATTGGAACTTGGGTCTCCCGCTCGGTGTTGTTTGATTCCTTTGCATTTTTTTGCCATGAGGCAGGCTATGGCAGGCTGTTAATGAGTGGGACCTCCATGAATTCCTGTATGCTCAGGGTGAGGGAAGTGGGACAGCTGGACAGCAAGCTGAATGCCAAGAAGAAGCCTGAGATCTTTGGCAGGAGGGTTGGTCCGACTGTCCTTTGCCACGTGGGGTGGGGTGAGGGATTTCACAGGGGCTAGGCGTTTTTTCACTGCACATGCTGGGAGGACAAGTCATTTCTGAATGCCCAGTGAGTAGTGGGAGAGAGTTCTTCCTTCGAAGAGAAAGAGGTGAAGAGGTGAGCTGACAACCATCCTCGAGCATGGTAGGAGGCTGCATGGCCATGTGGCTAGCAACCCTGTGGATCAAACAGCCTCGACTGGTGGTGGGACCGTGCTTGAACCTCCCTCACACATACTTGCGCCTGAAGATGCCTGAAGGCAACATCTAACTTTCAGCTTCGCCAGCAAAGCGTAACGACCCATTTGTACCATAAAGAGCAACCACGCATGCTTCACTATCATCTATATAGGTACCGTGGCAGCCGCAAAGGTGACCCTCCAAAGCCCTTCGAACATCAATTCTTTGGGGATATGGACGTTTCTCCGACTTCCTCACCAACCCCAAACAGCTTATTGAAATGGAGGTGCCCAACAAACACTCCGTTCGGGGTGGTTTCCGGTGTGGCAAAATATGGTAAACTAGGCAAGTGTATGCAAGTGTGTTAACATATACTTGGCCATGCTTGGCGCTGCCTGCGCGCTTGGCCGCGCGCACCCAGGAAGTCTAAGCCCAACGTGCCGGTCTACCGGCTGAAGCCCAACAAGGGGCCGGGCACGCCGAGTGGGACCGGGGTCCGGGAAATCACCGGGAAGAGGATGGACACGGTTTGAAGGGCTCGCGGTTTTGGGGCACCGAGCATGCACCTGTGTGGTTTAGAAGGCCTGAAAGGAATCGATTGGGGTATGAAGAGACGAATGTCCTGGGCCAGTGGATATATCAGCTAGTTACTAGTCCAGAGGGATCCTAGCGATAGGATTCTTGCTACAGGTCTTTTTTTTCCAAGCAGTACTCAGAGTATCTTAGAGTGGTAGCTGGATCCACTGGTTCCCACATTTTCCACCCATGGCATCCCATGGCCTCGTTTTTGCCGCACTTCGTGTGGGAAAGAGCCTTATATATGGAGGAGACCCTTTCCATTGATAAAAGATGTCCTACCTCACCTGGAACCCGCAAACATCCGCAAAATACTTGAGGTAGCTTGAGGTGTTGCGAGAGATCTTGTGAGGTCCGTTTGATATGATATATATGTCTACTAAATATCTCTTTCTTCTTCGACCCAAAGACACCGCGTTTCCACCGGACTCCTCGCCGATGACGTCTCTCGTAGTCTCTCCAGGCTCCCCGAGGCCTTGAACAACTACTACGCGCCTCGGGCCGCGGCGTTCGCGACGACGACGGCGATCGGCCGCGGAAGCCGCGACGACGGGGGATCGGTGGAGGCTCGGCCGTGGCTCTGGAGGCGCCCAAAAGCGAGGGCCGTGTTTGGCCGGAAGCCGAAAGAGGAGCCAAAGCCGCGGGCCGCGCATTTTGATCGCTTTTACATATTTGATCGTATTGGTCTACCCATCATTGATACTCTTTGGTTCACAAGAATATACATTACTCATCTATCCTGGATCCTTTTGAAAGGGTGTTTGGACCCAGCAAAAGAGGCACCACACCGCATGGCTGGGCTGGCTGGGCGGGCTTACGGCTTAGTATTCGACCCAAATCCGGAAAACCCGTCGACGTAGATCTGCCGATCTGCCCCGGTGTTCCTCGGGGTTCCTCGGCTCAGATCACCTTGCGCTACGCGAAGAAGCTCCTTCGCATCGGCTCCGGCTTCGACGGGCTGCCCGGCGGAAACAACGGAGACCGATGGGTTGTCTGGGAGAAGAAGACCAGGGGCGGTCTCCAGTCGTCCTATACTTATTTTTGGAGGTGGTATGGTTTGGGTCCTGGGTTTGTCCGAGTACACCTGTAGAGCCGTCGGGATCCAGAAGAACATCACTATGTTTGGAGGATGCCTTGGCACATCAGCGGCCCGACCCATGTTCTTATTCTGACCAAAACAACCGGCGTAAGAGAAAAAACATGGCTCAGCTCTCCAAGCGACCTGGAGCAGGGCCGTGCAAGAAACATATGAAAACATCATTGAACACGAAAAAACAGGCTTCTGAAATGAACCTTTCTTCAGACTCCGTGCTGGACCGGAAGATGAAGCGGACGCCCACCTGGTGGACCAGAAGAACTCAACGAAGGTACCAGTTTGGTGGACCCCACCATCGAGAGTCACAGGTGCTCTCAATGGCGGTTTGGAAACATGTGCGGTTTTCCATCAATCAATGTGCGGTTTCTCCCCCAAAGCGGATGAACCACCGCTGCACCGCACGCTTCGCTCGCGGCTGGGCGTTTCTTTTTCCGAGGAGCCAAAGCTTCAGCGAGTTCGTTTTCAACAACCTCTACCGCCACTGGGCCTCTTTTTCAGATCTTTTTCAGGTCGGGTCGCGATCTGGGCTGGTGAGATGGATCAAGGTTTGGACCGCGAGTTTACGCACCGCCAAACGTTCTCCGAAAAAGGGCGGTCAAATGGTGATCACTAGGTCCATTGGTGGCGGTCGTTTCTTCGGAATGGGTGGTCCCTTGAATCATGCACATGTTATCGGAAGGCATTCGACTCGATGCCGTTCCACATGGAGTGTTTGTGTTGCATATTGCATATCTTCAAGAAGGCTTGGAGGAAAATCGCCAGAGGGAAGGTCGGCTCCAGCTTCCAGCAGTCGGTGACTTGGGAAAACATCATCGGATAAGCCAATGGAGGGCCAAAGGGCCTCCCAATACCCCGACCTTCCACCCCTGAGGCAGCCCGCAAGTGCTTCTCGGCTGCATTCAGTCTGTCTATGTGGGGTTGCGACGTCGCAGCATTGATGCTTTGCGACATAGTTCGAGGTCTCTTCTGCAAACTGAGACATGGGCCCTTTAAAGAGGTGACGGTGTGTGGCGCTCGCCATCGACTCAAAGATGTGCATTCATTGGGGTTCCCAGGCGTGGCTTCCATGGCTATGCCTTGCCACCTGGCCTTGTGGGCAACCAGAGCCCGGAGCCCTGAAACGTCTTTCACGTAGCATGGAATGGACCAGTTGATGGAAACAGTTTTCTGCACCACACCACCGAGAAATGCGAAGTCAATCAATCACGGGCGCTGGAGATGTTCTGCTTCAAGGTGTGAACACCACATTGTTTTCACCATATCGGTACTCAGTTGTGAGTGGGTTTGGATAAGTCATGATAAATCAAGATAAATCTTAAAGATTCCTAAAGTATCTACAGTACTGTAGCAGTGCAGGATTCCAGGATGTTTTTCCATCAACTTCCTCTCTGGAGCAGACGGTTTATAGCATGCGCATTTTTTTCGCTGGCACCCCCACTGGCAAGAGTGGGGCAAGGTGAGATTTGGTAATTCTTCTGTCATTGAACAAACGAAGGCACACCGATGGAACCACATAAATCCTATAAAGAATAGCATTGCCTCCCTTCTTGCCCAGACAAGATATACCAAGAATATCCAATACGGTGGCCCATGGTCACGTCAGGCACAAGGAAAGGAATGGAATCACACCGGGGGCGCACACTCATATTTTAATCATCCAAGGACAAGCCTCTGCTCTAATTAGTGTCCAGTTTCGACCATAAGGATCTTAACATAAGTCCCTATGCCAAAGAGCTGCAAGGGGAGGGAGTTGCGCAGCAGAGATGGAGAATCCACAAAATGAATTGCGTTCTACTGTGAACATGCAGCCACCACTGGTTCCCTGTCACCATTGCCAGTGTGTCGTGATACCGCAAACGACTCCGCCCGCGAATCACCCGTTGAGACCGGTCAACAACGACTTCTGTCGCCAACGACCTATCGGCCCAACGACTAAGACCGGTCTAACCGTTTCAGTCTGACAGGTTGAGCTGAAGAAGTAGTCTCTTCTCATGTTTGGTGGTCAACCGAGGTCCCCCAGTTTTTGACCCACGGCCATTCATGGATCAGACGGATGATGAAGCCATGACTCTGGAGCTTTTGCACATCGATGAACACTGAACCGGAAACCAACCGCACGGAGCACGGAGCTCGGAGCTTGGTGTGCTTTCCGAAACACCTTCAGGTGGGACCCTGGCGAGCTGCCTCTAGGACGATGATATCGAGTCGACGTGGGAGTCGACTCCGGTCGTGGTGTCCAGGGCCGTGGGGTGTGGGGTGTGGGTGTGGGTGTGTGGGGGGGTGACTCTGTAGATCATGTGATGAAGAGGAATGCTGAATGGCTGAATGATCATGCCCAGAGTATGGATGTTTCCACCCTAAAGAACTGGGGGCCTTCGCGACGGATGGATATCACATGTTCAGAGCAACATGGATTAGAGATATTAGAGTGTTGACCGATACCCTTTAGGTTGAGAAAGGGCCAATTGTGAAAGGCACGCATAGGCTTTCCAGGTGTTGACCATGGCTCAATTTAAGGCATTAGCACTAGAACGATCAGCCTTCTAAATCTAGTTTATTGGGCTGCAACTCAATGCTTCCAGGAACAGCAGACATGACCACACGCTCAACCTTGGCAACCGGGCTGCCTGTGGGTCAGAACACCAGGATACCGATCCGACAATCCGCAATCCGATCCGGGCTCTTCCGTCCGACTCTTCCGTGTGGTGGGTGCCAGGGAGTATAGGTAAGTATCCTCTGTGCATGGCAACCCTGTACAAAAACAACAAGAGCCTATAGCTACGTGAGACCGAATGTCCGCGCCGCACTGGAAAGGTCAAGCTACAGGGTGGTGGGGGAGAGCAATTATATGGGGATAGATCATATGGACTCACGGTACTGTAGGCTAGACTCAACTACTCAAAACATGGTTGTCCTCAGCTCTTGGTGACGTCACGGTGATGTCCTCATTTGTTTCGTCTGCGAGGAGATCGCTGAGCTGTAGCAAAAATGGTGCTCTTTGGGTTTGCAGGGAGGAAGGACCACCATCGGGCCCAATGGGGGTTCTTGTTTTTTTTTGCCGAGGCAGCTATGGGTCATCTCTCGAGAATGAACCACAGGCAAAAACACCGTTTGCTCCACTCGTGAGTGAGGCTCCAGGACCCTGAGGAAGAACCAGACAGGCAAGTAACTTGAACATCTTTTAAAAAGTTTTCACAGCTCTCAGAGGTCCTTCGAGACAACGTCAGAGACCTCGACTCATCCCCTCATTTTTGTTGCGGTTCAGGAATGTCCTATTTATGCCTGGTTCATGCCGATGCCCGGTAAAGGAGGAAGTGCATTTCGAGAATCCACCGACGGAGCACCATGGTGGAATAGGGGGGCCGTTCTCACGGTGCTGAAACCTCGATATTGAGAGCTCTTTGGGTGAGCAAGGGTTCATTGGTTTCGATGCTGTAATCAATGTGCCGGCTGGTTTGCTATCACCAGCAAGAAGCAAACTTGTCCGGCAGCGAAGGAATCTTAATGCTATGACACGTCCGCTTTTCATACAATCTCATCGCAGCAGTGTCTCCGTATGAGATTGGTGCTGCTTCCCAAAAAGTAACCTGTTAGTAGGGCAAGGATGGGCAAGGAGTTTGCCACAAGCCGTGTTCCTTTTCTGCACAATATTTGGAGGTATGATCCTTGATGACATCGGATTAGCATCTCACAAGGAGGTGATGTTTGTTGTTGCTTTTGGTGGCCCAAGAGAGAGCTGCATGACATGGCAAGAAGAGATGCCTCACATGCGGCAACATTGCATCAAGTTCCTCAAACACATTGACTGTCACGCGAAACTGGACTGGTTCCTCACCAGCTACCGCCGACAGCAACTGCAGAGGGACTGGTCCACGGAGGCTCCATGCTTCGTTTTCTTAGCGTATGCTATTCACATCACCCCAAGCTCAGGTTCGGAAGGACTTGCTGAGCGCCCAAGCAGAGTTTTTGTAGGAATTGTCCAGTCAGGACGTCTGTTTTCGTGGGCCAAATTGGACTACCCCACCCAGCTGGGGAGGCCACCCAACTCCACCCCTCTGCCAACTCCATCCAAAGAAAACAAGCTCCGAAGCCCACCCCGACCCCAGTTCACCGCCCCAACCCTTCGGCCGCCCGCCACCACAACCCTTCGCTCGCCTCGAAGACGCCACCGGTGGATGACGCCATGGCCCTCCGCAGCGTGGGGCGCCGCTCGAGGGCGCAGGAGAATCTCGGCCGAACGGAGGAGCAGCCGAAGCGGAGGGATCTTGGGGGAGGTTGGGGGATCTGAAAGGTGGAAGACCAATCTGGGAGATTCCTTGGCAGACATCCACATGTCGTGGATGTTATATAATTGCATGGTTTAGAGGTTGAAGTGGTCGAAAGCTAAACGAACACTCTGGAGGAGAATGTTCTCGAAAACCATCCAACACCTAATTCTTATCCATACTTATCCAATATTATAGATGCCTTCAGCCCTTCAGGGTGCTTCTTGGAGGCCCATTGAGGAGAGACGAGAAGCCCTCAGATGTTCACCCAAATCAGTTTGGGGCTTCACACTCTTCGCCATCTGGAAACACACACCCGGGATCAAGGGAACTCGGGGGAGGTCAAACTCGATTTTTGAACCACCACACCACCCTGGAAATCATTCCAAAGTGTTTTGGTATGTTTTGTTTGTTTGTTTGTTTTCACGATTCGGCAGAGCTGGTTGCACCTCCTTGGCTCCCGCTATGCTTGCAATTGCATGCAATGACATGCATTTGCATTCCAACGTGACAAAGCATGACAGAACAAATAATCACGGGGGGTTGGCACCACAGCGTTTGCATGGCATGTCGCATGGCCATGGTGCCAGCATGTGCACGGGTCAAAAGATACAGCCACGACCTCCCACTGACATCATGCAGATGTGATGAATAAAACCACCCAGGCCTGGAGATGAAAAGCCATTCCTAGAGACAAGGGGTTTTATGCATCAACAGTCCACCAACCCTCGATGTAGGCTCCCGAAACGTGCGCAGGAGGCTCACCGACAGCGGATGCGCCCGCCGGTGCCAAATGATGGCTATCCCTTCAGGCGCTGGACTCTCCGAGCAGATGAGTTGATAGGAGCAATGATTGGAAAGACCATGAACCGAGGATTTTCCGGGGCACGTGGGAGCCTATCCATGCCATGGGTGCCATGGCTCTCTCATGCCATCTTCCAGTATACCAGGTGAGGTCTGAGGTCTTCACAGGTGAAGTGCAGCAGTTGTTTGATTGAGTGGACAGTTATCAGCCATGGAGGGACATGGAGCGACAGGAGTCCACTACATGCAATGGACATGTCAAAGTTATATACTTACCTTGGACCATGGGGGCATGTTTTTTTGCAACTATTCGCCCAAAAGGTGGCGTGGCCAAAGATGTTAACAAGAAGAACCTAAATGTCTAGGCAACTCCTTTGCTTTATATAAACAAAACGACCATTTCCAAGGCAGTTCCTTTGCTTGTAGATCCTTTGCTTGTAGTTCCTTTGCTTGGAGGTGTTTTGTTTTTAACTTTCTTGTCCATGTCTCATGCACTGCTGGGACTGGCATTGCCATATGACTCGCAATCAGTTGGGCCTCATGACTCATGACTCCGCACTTGGGGGGTTGGAGCTTCATGTGCCAATAATTGGGGTCTTTGGCATGTTTGGCATAAGAACCTTCATGCACCGATGGGACTGGCAGCCATATGACTCGCATTCAGTTACCGTAGGTGCATGGAAAAAGCAAAAAAAGAAACACCTCTTGGCATCTCAGCCCCAACCTCCGACTCGTGCAGGGCGCACCGCGCCGCGGCGCCTGGACCAATGGTCAGTACGCATGGGATTGGGCGCCCACTACTAATGGGGATGGCTATCAACCATCATCAACCTAATAACAATGATCATGGCAAGTAGAACGGTCATTAATAAGGCTTCCTACTATGGGATGGATGTACATATGATCCACATCGTGAGTATGAAGGGCTGCGGCTCATCCGTTGGGAGACATGCTTCAGGTGTTTTTGGTATTTTACATACTAGACATGTTTTACATAGATGATAGCTTCCGTTTGACATACCAGATAGGCTTCCGTCTTTGGTACCAGACATGTTAGCTTCATCTTTTGGGGGACGAATTCAGATGGATTCTCCCAGCTGACGGGCACGACCAGCGGATCTGGGGAGGTCGGGCATGGTTTTCCGGTCTGATGGGACGCGCAGAAAGGAACGCTCTTGAATCGAAGAGGATGGCAAACCAGCATGAACGGCTGCCGGCCGTCTTCACTATTTGTTTAAACAAAGACAAAACGGTCAATGGCCAATCCTTCAACCCCGGGAAATTGGCATATTTAGTAGTTCAATATGTGACCTACCCTTTGAAACGGTGGCATTCTTGTTTGAGCCACATTCTTGTTGAGTCAGTCTCAACTCGTCGCATGTGGGATGAGACTCGTCTCATCCCGTGGCGATGGGCATGGCGCCCCCAGACATGGTCCGAGAGCCATTTAAGACATCATAGGGATGTGCGTGTCCTTTTTAAGCGAAAGAACCATGGACGCTACTAAACCGAAAATCAATTCCAATAGAGGGACGCTGTTGACGCTGTTGTCACTGTTGTCCCTTGATGTGTTGTCCCTCTCGTTGGACGCTCGGAAGGCCCGTCACCGATGCCGCGGGCGCCACCACCGATTCGCCGCCCGACTCAGGACGGTGCCAAAGATGCTACCCCGCGATCCAAAGGTCCGCCGAGTCGAAGACGGGGGGGAAAACGATGAGAACGATTAGTGGAGAAAGACAAGTGGACCAGGGGATGTGAAGGAAGAGGGGAAAAAAAAAAAAACGAGCCTAAAGACAAGTGGAGAAAGTGGGTCAAGAAGCGATCTTTCTGGGTTAGGAAGTGGGTCCATGTCTGATCTTTCTGGGTCCAGAGGTGCTCCGCGAAGCCTCAGGCAGCGACGCGACTCCGAGTCGCAGCACGTCCTTGCCTCCGTTGCAGAGCCCGCGGCTGGCACGCTCCGCACCGGCAGGCGGGGGAGTAGGGCTGCTGGGAGTGGAGCAGCTGGGGATGGAGGAGGTCCCAAATATTTGACACAGACACCGTTCGGTTGGACGTGGAGTCGGAAAGGATTGAAGATCTGGCTGCAGTTTGACGAAGTCGGCGATGAGCTTTGCTGGGTACATTAACGTGTGAAAAATGACGATCTGGGATCTACAAGACATGCACCTACGTACCAAATTTGAGGCCTCACCGCGCCGAACGTTATCAAAGGACCCAAGGAGAAGCCAAAGATGCAGAAGAATATAGAAGAATGGTAGGGACGAGGGATGTGATTGATCCTATCCACTTCCAAATCAGGGTGCTCTTTGCCTGTCTTTCCAAAGGTTTTGCACCACCTGATGCAGACAGACCGAACAAAAATGAGCTCCTGCAGGTTCAATGCAGGGTCAACAGAGGTCAACGCTTGATCACCTGGGCGTGCCTTATTCTGATCCCTGACAATTCAGGGAATGACACAAATCAAACATGAAACACAGACAGACGCCAAGAACATCCCACTGGGGCCAAGTTGAGGGGATCTCCTTCCAAACACCCATCCAATCATGTGTTCCTTCCAGAGGGTTTTGGTCTACCCTCCATCCAACAAACATGTTAACATGGAAGTGGAACATGGCCCCGAAAGGAAGACTGTCTTCCTCTACGGAACAGGCTGTACGAGGCTGTATTCCACTTCCATGATGGTTTCAGGGAGGGTATCATTGGATTCTGGGAGCTGCTGCGGTCGATGCCAGGTCTAGACCTGGACCTCAAGGCAGGCGCCCCACCACACACGCCTGACGCCACTCCCGGCTCGGCCTCCTCTCCAGGCGCGAGCCGCGACAGGAACACGGTAGAGGGGGGGGAAATCAATGAACGAGATTTCCCATGTAACCTATGTTCCTTGATTCTGGTATTCTGGTTTTTGATTCTGATATTCTCATTGTTTGAGTTCAAAGATCGGTTGTTTTAAAAAGTGATAGCGTTTGAAGCTTAAAAGCACCATATTTTGGCCACAGTTTTGTTTGCAAACCTGGTTTTGTAATCTTACTATGATCTTTGTTTAAAACATGCAACCCTCCTGGGGGGGGCACCACCACCATAAAATGCATGCGAACTGTGAAATGCAGCATCCTTAGGTTTGGAGCCACTGTCACTGAGGACCCACTCAGGCCACTTCTTGGACTTCAAGGTTGTTTTTTGCAACCGAATAGGTGGTTAGCACCGAACAGGTGCACATGTATTTTCTTTTTTGCCAACATGTGGAGCACTTAGTATCAGTCCTAGACCATTGGCAGGACTCATGAACATTCCGGGCTGGATAAATATGTATGGGAATACCCAGGACTTTGGATTCCTTTCCAAACATACAAAAAACAACAACACTGATCAACAATAGATATAAACACATTGCCAGCTTTGGATATATATATATATATATGTATATATATATATTGTTTTTTCAGTTGCATTGCAACCACTCACACTTCCCAGAGTCAAATTTGCAAAGGGCTAAGTGCACTTTGGACTAAGGCTCACACTAAGGCGCACTAAGGTCATCACACACCCATTCAGCTGTCCAAGCTGTACTGGTAGTATGTCCAATCTGAATGAGTTTAGAGGGGATGGACACTCTTAATTCTATACAGAGCAGCAACTATGAGTGAGTGTATGTGTCCATGTTTACCACACGGGTCGCTTGTCACCTGGATGGGTCACCCCAGAAGGAATCCGTGTGGCACGGGTTCGGCGGATCCAGGTGGCCACGAGGACTCGTGCACTGTTGGTCGCCACGAGGACTCTGAGGCGCCCCACGCGGAGGTGAGACGAAGTGACAATGGAGACGTGGCTCATTTGGAGACATGGCATCACTGTCATCGCTATATAGATGGATATAGTAGGGAGACATGGAGACGTGTTGGTGTTATTACAATTTGTCTTGGATGGTTTGTTTCCAGACAGTTTTGAGCCACCTGTATAAAACATTATAAAGCACCACTGTGCCTCCAGCCCCACAATACCCTATAGTTCATGGCCACTCACACAGCGGGGTTGTTTCGTTGTTTCATGAGATATTCTCCTCTTTTCCCACACCTTTCGACGATGCTCACCCAGCTCGGACGCTGGGCGAAGAGGAACATTCTGGCCAAGCCCTGTGGGTGTCCGAAGAGCAGCTTGGGCCTGGGTGTCCTGAGAATTCTTTTGTGGGTGTCCCATCTCTTCTTCCCCCCGTCGTTCTTCGAAACCCGTCTCTCAGCAACTGTTTCTGTCGGGTCCGGTTTCGCTCGGGTCGAACGTCTCCAGGACGACGAGGAGTTCTTAGCGGACCTGCAGGAGTTGGATGAGCTCACGGCGCATCTGGCGCGGCGAGGCGGAGCGGTGGCGGAGTGGGATGGAATGTATTTTAATCTTTTAATCTGTTTAATTTCACATCATTTCACTGTTTTGGTTTGGGTTCCTTCATAATGACTCGTCACATATATTTTTTTGTGTTTCTGACTTAGCCCATGGGCCATGTGTTCCCTCGGAGTTTCTTCACTGCAGGCGACCCGTCCTCGGCGCGCGACGTGCGGCCGCCTACGGCGTCCTCGGTGTCCACCACGGCGCTGCTCGGCCGGTGCGGTCGGCCGGGGTGGTTGCTTTGAGGTCAGTGGCCGGTCCTTCTCCACATTTGGTGGTTTCTTCTGATTTTCCAGTGTGATATTTCTATTGGGCTGGGCATGGCTGGGTCAGATTGGAAGTTCCTGAATTGTGGAGGTCATTGCCAACCCTTCCAAGTGCTCACTGGGAGAGGTAGCTGACGAGAAACAGTCATTGGACGTCGGGTGTGGCCCGTTGTGAATCGAGACATCGGTGTAGGTAACAGATGTAAGGTTGAACTGCTACATTGACTGCCCTGCTACATTGACAGTAGGGCCCTGCTACATTGACCTCTGAAACCATTCCCCCAATGTAGGTCAATCTTCCGTAACATGAGATGGACTGGGCCTGCCAGCTCCCCAAGGCCTGCTAGCTCCTTGGCCACGGCCTCGGTGGCCAACGGGGTGGGGGGCCCAGACTGCTCCGCTTCTCACCGCGGCCGCGGAGCGCGGCGGGAGCCACCGCTCCAGGAACCAGATATGGAACATCTGGATTGACAGATGATAATGGTTTGCCATCTGGTTTTGAACCAGATGAACGTTCCTGGCAATGACGCAACCATTGAAGTGGTGATGAAAGAACCATCAATTGTTGCGTCGTTATCGTTCATCTTTTTTTTAATGCCGATTGTTGTGGCCGTGAGTCATCAAACCTCCCTCACCAAACGATGGCAGGTTGACATCCCCTTTTCGAGGAATCATGAGGAATCTGTTCATTTTCAGAGGTCAACCCGTTTTGACCCACAGTCAAATGAAACATAAGATTCATATAAGATGATTCCCACACCTACTTTTGGTCCCCATCCTCAGGGCTTGGTACATCTGGTTTTCACTGGGGGAATGCTGGGGATGGTCCTGATCTTGCTGATGTATAAGGGATGTTCTAGCAGGTAGGAGGTAGCCAGACCAGTTAAATAATGCATAAAACACACGAGAAGCGCGAGAAGTGCTGATGATAGTCCCATATAGTCCCCACAAGCTAGCCTGGTCTTCAGACCAAGCCTCAGAAGGTCAGTAGATGACGAGTTGACTTCAAATCCAGTCTGGTGATTTCACTCTTACAACTCTTTTTTTTGAGCCCGCTCCTACTTTAATGAAGTATGCACCTACTTAATTAAGATCAATTAAGTAATGCAGGAAAGCTTCGAGGTAGGATGCAGGCTAGCCTCCAGTCCAGTGATTTCCCTTGATCCAGTCTTGCTTCCAGGAGGATTATGCCGATGCGAATGAGGCCCGGGGAAAGCGCAAAAACATCTTTTCCGGGCGCTTCGCCGGGGTGAGGTGGCCTAGGATGACCCTTGTTGTCCAAGGAGTGGATCTCCACCACACCATTCGTTTGGTTGGAGCATCGTGTTCGGACCACATGTTGTATGGATGATCAGGCATGTTTCGCCGGAGAGAGACAGGACGTACAAAACCCGGAATCAGAATTCATGAGAACCTAGAGCGGATATGCAAAATTATGCTAAACACTGCAAACCCATTGTCAACATGTGTTTCTGTCGGAAAGCAGCATTTCACTAAATAGCTCCTTGAGCACCTCACTTCCTTTACTTTCCTCCTTTACTTAAAGTCCGCACACTTGGGTAATGGCACTTCCCCAAATTCACATAACAGCCTTATATACTTACTGCAACAGAGATATATAAATTTATCGTCGAAACCCACCCTTTTTTGTTTGCTCCAGAATGAGTGACTAGTGTTTTCTGTCCAAGTTTTTGCGCCTGTAAGTCTATAGCGTTTATACATACCTATAGAGCCCATTTGACCTTTGTTGTGACAGGAAAAGGCCATGGTTTGGGCGGTTGGTGGTCCCAAATGGAGGTCGCTCAGGCTCTATCTAGGTCTTCATACTCCCCTGTTAGGTCCCGATCCAGCCGAGGAACACCAAAACATACAAAAACAATCAAAAACACACCCATGTCTCACCCGCCCTCCTTCGGATCCACAGTGTCCACGGAACCGCCACGGATCCGCCGCGAACCGCCACGGATCCGCGGTGCCAGGATCCGTTCGAGCAGTTGCAAGGAGCCGTGCGCGTGCACCAGGCGCGAGTCGTCGATGCACGTGGCGCGGTCGTCGACGTATGTGGCGTGCACAGAGTGGCTTGGGCGAGACACACGTGGCGGTCGAGCGAGTGACCCACCGTGGAGGAAGGTCGAGAAGGTCGCGGGGGGTGCAAGGCTTTGTTTTCTCTGTAAAGGGTGGAATATGTGTATATAAAGTGTTTTGTAGCAAGAGGAAGGTGAAAACAGATGAAAACAGATACTTGGTCCGGGACCCTGGAGGCAATGCACCAGCTGTTACGCATGTTACAGTTGTGATTTCTGGTCGTCGGAGTGCTTTTTGGATTCAAGGCGCTGCTGTAAGCCTTGTGTCACATGACGTGGGGCCCGACTTTGCTGCACAAATGGGGATGTATTCACACCCAGGCACTCCATGTATGCCATAGTGTATGCCATATATGATATGCCTACATTGACCCCCAAAACCACCCCAATGTAGGCATATATGGCATACATGGAGTGCCTGGGACATGATATTCATACTGACGCTCAAAGACCACGGATCACTATCTCTCCTCTGATCATGATCCATGTTGTTCGTGGGCGGGGGAGTGTTGCAGGGGTCCCAGGCTTTTGTTCCACCCCACTGTAATGTTTGACAGATTCATTGAGATTAAAACATTTAAACAAGTTGGACCACATATAGTCAAGCTAGGTAGGGGGGGCTTTGATTCACCAACCATCACCGATACATCCGCGTCTTTCGTCTCTTCCGTGCCTTTGGACTCGCAGTCTCTTCCAGTGCTGCGCTGCGCTGCAGGAGATTGCTCAGCTGCGCTTGCCCCATGGTTGCCGCCTGGAGTCCGTGTCCTCAGTCGGAGGGGAGAAACTCCGTCGATGAGACCCTGAGTCGGAAAAATGTCGGAGGCGTTTGGGCACCGTTTGGAGAGAATTTGTCTACGAGACCGTAAGAGGGCCTTTTCGACCACGGAGTTCGCATGTGACACGGCCACGGACGGAGCCTGTGAAGGTCGACAGAGATCCCAAGCGCAGGGAGCATTCCTTCACGCCAAGGGCGGTGGGGAGGGATGGTTCGACCCCGTAGCGTCGCCGTTTCCCGCGTTCTCTTCGAAACCGCAGGACCAGCCAAGCCTCCTTTGCCCAACTCTTCTTCAGCATGGATGTGGCGGAGGCGATCCGGGAAAAGCGGCGTCATGCGAAGGCGGACGGAGGTTCCACAACCCACGCGAACAGTAGGTCATGCGAACAGCAAAAAGGTCCGGTCCGTGGCAGAGGGACTGTTTGCCTGGAGCATGGTGGACCCCCTCGCAACAAAGAGCTTAGATAGTGGCTTAGATCGGCTTAGGGTCCTTTGCAGGGGTGTCCTTTCATCCAATTTGGCGATCTCGGCTGCCATGAACAATGGCTGGCTGCCAGGAAGAGACTCCTCTTTTCAGGGGAACTCCAAGAACACCCTGTTCGCTTTGTGCCAAGGGGGGACTCCGAATGCCGTAGAACTGCGGAGCAGAGAGGCCTTTTGAGACCCTGGGGACCTGCCAGAACTTCAAAGGCCTAACTCAGCAGTGCTAGTTCATCTCAGGTTGGGGTGACCACCAAAACACACCACACCTGATCAGTGCAACAAAATCCCTGCTTTGTAGATTAGAACATGCACCAAAGTCAGAAAGAGAAACCATACTCTGGTTTGATCAAACAAAGAAACACCGTGCCCTTTTGTTCTCTTCACGGACGTCTGCCACCGCGCCCCTGGTCGCGACCCTTCGTTCGCCACCGGACGACTGGCCGAAGCACACCAACGGAGCAAGCTCCGGCCTCGCAGGGGCCTTTCACACCGGCCTCTTTGGTCTTCTGGGCCTGGCGCCCAGGGCGACGAGACCGGAAGTGGCTGTCGCAAGGGCGACACCAATCTTTTCTGGTCGACAGCCAGTGTGCACAGCGTGTTTGCCCGTGCGTGGGGCCTGTTCGTTCGATGGTGAGAAGTAATGTTGGATCATGTTGGATCCTGAAATAAGGGTGAATAAACACATGTGTTCCGTAAAGACGAGCAATCCCACACCCTGAATGGTTTATGTCAGCGAAACCATTGCTCGAAATCAACTATTCAAACTGTACCAGTACCACTGCTACTATTACTTACTGCTACTCCTTCTATTCTATATATACTTCTACTTCTACTGCTGCTGCGTCTACTAATCATACTATATATATATATAACATTATATAACGCTATATACTTTAATACAGCAGTTTTGAGAACTAACGCTATTCAGACTCCCTCAATCGTGTGCTTGCGGGGTTATTGTTTAAGATCCATCACTGCTGTGTATATAGTAGCATGTATTGACCATCATCACCATGTTTGTCGTATGTCCCACGGGAACAAACTTGGAGCTGTTTTTCCCGCCTTGGTCCATTTTGCCTCTTTGCTTTGCATGCACAAATCGATGAACTACCTAGAGAAGCAAAACACTAACAATTTGTAGGCTCCTGGATGAAACATCGCTTTTTCTAGGGAAGAGATGGAAAACATCGTCTTTTCTCGAAAAAGATCGTCTTTTTGGTAAAACCACTGAAGAATAGCTCCGGCTACCATAAACAAACACCTGTCTCCCGGATCTTGCTTTCAGGTGAGTGCCGTGGGACCTTCATGGATCCGCAAGTCACCAAATGTCGAGCATTCTTCCGATTCTTCCATCTGTGTTGGTCATCTTAAATTAAATAGCCTTTTTGTGAATTTGGAGGGCGCCTTCACTGAAAACATAAGACACCGTATTTATCCCGTACGGAGCCCGTACTTAACCCGTACTAACCCATACGGAACCCGTATTTTCGATCTGCCCCAAAAAACATTGTGTTTTGAGAACCCATATTTAACCCGTACGGAACCCGTACTAACCCATACTAAACCGTACTAAAAATATGGCTTTTTTGCATCCCTGACAACCAGATGCCATTTGTGAGTTCTTAGGCTCGTAGCTGCATGTTGAAGGCTCACTCTCGATCCGGGTGAAAAGTGTTCTTGGTGAGGTCGACATTTGGTGACTTGTGTCCGAAATTCAGGTGCGTGCTGTCAGATCCAAAACACACATTTTGGAAAACATCGTCTTTTCCTAAAAAAGATCGTCTTTTTCTAATGTACTACGTTTTCTTGGTATCTTGTTTCCCTAGGTATGAAGAAACAAAGAGCCTTCGCTCGTCCTCTTGGAACGCTCGTCCTGCGCTCGTCCCGTTCGCCACGAGTCCAGAGATTCGGTCTGACCCGGAGGGAGCAAGTTCGCCGTGGGCCCACCAGACGCCCCCGGGTCCCGAGTCTTTGGGGGGGAACAGCACGGAACAGCGCAAGACAGGAACTTCAGAAGTTTTCATTGGGGCCCAGGGACCAGAAGTGGTTTCAGGTTTGATTCGGGTCTATCGTTTGAAGGGCTGTGGGGTGCGGTTTAAGAAGCGAGTTGGTGGTGGTTGGAACCTTAGCCTCCGTAGTGACATGATATGGGTTGGCATGTTATGATATATGATACATTAATATACATTACACACTCCCTGAAATTAACAAGGAACATCATGGAAGTGCAAAATGCTCCTTAGATGACCATTTTCCTCTCCAAACAAGTTGTTTTGCACTTCCATGGTATTTGGGGAGTGTATCCCTAGGGCTCCAAGTAGCTTTCTGAGAAGGTGTTTCAGCTGGCTGCCAGGCTCCCAAAACATCCCTCCCGGGTACGGCTGGAGCCCTAGCATATCGTTTCCATTCCTCCCAGACACTCCATGGGACTGCCATATATGCCATCCCATTGACCCCCAAACCCACCCCTGGCCGTTTCTCGGCAGTCCTATGGCAGTCCTATGGCAGCTCCCGTGTTTGGGGCCCTGGTCTGCCGAAAGTCGGCGTCCGCCTCAGGTGAAGATCTTCGCAGAGTATCCGCTCCCCGGGAGTGTGAGTATCCGTGCCACGAAGCGTGAGCTGGAGCGAGGGAGAGCGAGGGACGGAGGGGTCGAACGGGGTCCGGCTCAAAAACCGGCCGTGCTTTTGGCATGGAAAGTCAAAGAACCAGAAAGAACTGGTCGTTCCGGCAATTGATCGTCCTTTACATATAGGACATGAATGGACATGATGTGTATTTTTTGATTATATCTATATTTGTTTCTGGTTGTTTGGTTGTTTGGTTTCCCAGGAATATATGGAAAGATACCTTAATGATGATACCTTTCCTTCACCCCTTCAACCTTGCATGGCAGTGGATAGGATGGAAAGATTGGAGCAGTCTTTGGAACCATCGATGACGTATAGTTGGAGAATGGACCTATTGGGGTATTCAGTCCAAGCACCTTGATGCCCCTCTGCTCCAAAAAAAGTCCCTCGTTCTCGTAAGGGAACATCCTTTAGAGTTTCGGCGCTGGGAGTTCGTCATATGGGAAGTCCATGCTTCTAACGCCGCGATGTGCGGCTCGCAGTACGAGACCAGAACAGCGGGTCGCAGAACCGCGATCGCCGCGATCGCCGCGATCGCCCAACTCGCGCGCGGCCAGATAGTACCCAGGCACTCCATGGGACTGCCATGACGGACTGCCTTCAAAACGGCCAGGGGTGGTGCCAGAGGGGTCGGATGGCAGTCCTATGGTAGTCCCATTAGTCGTGCCGGTCCGGGGCGGCGAACGAACGAACGCAGGTATCTTCCATCCCAGCATCGACGCGCAGACCGGGGCCGTCGCCTTTCCAGGCGCGAACCCGTTTCACGGCGCTCGAAACACCGAGTCGGCTCACCGGGTCGGCCATGCGTGGTCGCCCAGCGGCCGGGTCGCCAGAGGGGATGGTTGCTGGATGTGTTTCTGCATTCAGTGGTGGAGCTTGGAGCTGCTTTGATTTTCAGCCTTGTGTCATAAGCAGTTTATGCTTATAGCATGTTCTAGCTTGTTTATGTTTTTTTGGGGGAATGGTTTTCCAGCATGGTTTTCCCTTACCAACAGGATCAAACAGGCGGGGAAATGATGGACCTTCATATCCCTCGGAGTCAAGCGATTCACCTCTCAGACGTTCGTGGAGGACACGCCGGTGACCCCAATCCTTGCCACTTCCTTTTTGTGTTGCGTAAAGGTAATCTATTAAGTTTGATGAATAGAGCGGATACCCCCGGTCGTGTACCACCAATACGATTATCAATGGTACCTGGCACCTCTCGATCCTTCCCTCACCGGGCCAAGTCCACCGGAACCCCGGCGAGCGAGGAGAAGAAGCTCCCAAGGCCGGCGACCGGCCGAGAGTGCCGACGTCGTCTCGGGGAGAGTGCCGCCGTCGAAGCGCCATATTGGCGCCATATTCTAAGAGGCGGAAACGGTGTGAAAAAGAGTGTTTGAGTGTTTTAGGGGAACTAGAACTATCGTTTATCTATTGTGGGGTCATTATAAGTTGGCCACTGCTGGCCTGAAACAGGGGACTGTCCCAATTCCTTGGCCAGTTTTTTGGAGGAAACTTCTGGATCGCAGGTCTTCATTGCACTTCCAGCCCCAGCTCAGACTGTCCCCTCTCAACCTGGCCCAGATCCGGATCCAGGCGCGGAGCTTCTCGCGGAGCTTCGCAGAGCGTTATTTGCACATCGGTCGAAGCCAGGTGAAGTTGGCTTCGATGTTAACCAGCTTGGTGCGGATGGTGCGGACCTCGAATACTATAGTCAGGAAGCCTTCAAAAAAGGAGGAGGAACAATAGGGGGCCGCCTATGATGGTTCATGGGCTGTTTGCTTGGAACTACCGTGCCACATCCCACTGAGTTGATTCATCTGAAGAAGCCCACATGTCTTTCGCCCCTGTCGTGCAGAGATGTACATCTTGGGTGTTCCATGTGTGTGATCGGGGGGAAACACGGATAACCACAGTAAGTAGGTGTTGTCAGGTCTCATATGTGCGGGGTCAAAACCTGGAAACTTGGTCTACCATGTAGCAAGCGGGCTTCGTAGGTCAACCGCGCGGTCTTTTTTGGGTGACCCGGCCATATCAGGAACATGAGTCTGAGTAGTACAGTATGCCTTGGGGATCCAAGTACCTGGTACCTCCTCCTGATGGTGTTTGAACCCTCCTGACGCCTAAATTCTAACGTGTCGAACACAGAACACCGTTAGAACAGTGGATCCATAGACTTCCGACTTCCATTCCTCCCAGACACGACCCGTCTGGGACTGCCATAGGACTGCCATTCCATTGACCCGTGGCAACCACCCATGGCCGTTTTGAAGGCAGTCCTAGATGGCAGTCCCGTGTTCGGGTCGTGTCTGGGGATTGAGTTTGACTCAGGTGAAGTCACCCCAGCCGGTGGCTGAGCCGCGGAATGCGGATGCCTCCTCCTTGTGGCTTGGACCGAAAGTCCGTATACGGGGGAGGTATACTGATGGCACGGGACCGAGTCGGGTGTTCGGCAGGCGGAACGAGTGCGTGTTTGTGACTATATTACCAATGGGTGTCCAATGGTGACCTATAAGCAGTGTAGGGTGGTCCATTATACCAACCCTTGGAAGCAGCTGGTATATATTTGTTCAACAGCAAAACGTTGGAACGTCCCAGCCTGTCTGACTGACAGTCTTTCCATTGTCTTGGGACAATGCTGAGGGGGACACTTCAGTTGAGACATCACAATGGCGGGATTGTTCTGCCATGTCAACGATGGGAGTCTTGGACTCACCAAGTGAACCTTTCGAGTGGCTGGGGAACAACTTCTGGCAGCGGCTGAAAAACAGCTGTCAGTACAGCTGGGTCGTCGGAAGGCTGGTGCAGGTCGGAAGGCTGGTGGAACAGCTCTTAGATACCTTGCCAAAGCTATGGAAGACAAGACACACTGCAAGACTGTAAGGTACCAGGATCATCCAGACATGGGTGTCCTGGCTTTGTCCTACCCTACCCTTTGTAATTACCGGTCTCCATAGGGCCCAGGGCACCCGGACAGGAAGTGCTAGGCCCAGACACGACTAATGGGACTGCCATAGGACTGCCATTCCATTGACCCCCAAACCCACCCCTGGCCGTTTTGAAGGCAGTCCGTCATGGCAGTCCCAGACGGGTCGTGTGGAGATATGCTTCCTCCCAACGTTGGAGGCGTCACCGGACCTTTCCGCCATCACCGAGGCTCTCCACGGATCCCGCCGAGTTCCGGCGTGCGGTGCGGCTGGCGCTCTCGGGCGGCGAGGTGCTGGACGTGAAATACGACCGGGTGCTGGGCCTCAAGGCGCGCGTTGGTTTGGGAGGTGTGGGGCCGACCATGGCGTGGATTTCAGATCTCCGGGTTTTCACATGCAGACTGGGAGTGTCTCAGACTAGGCATGTCGATGGCTTTGCGAGTACGCTCTAAATGAACACGTGTGGTTTGAGTGATTGTAGGGTTGGAGCCTATGACACAAACAAATAGTGATGGGAGTCGCCAGCTTGGAACAGGAATGAACAGGATGAATCCTTTGGCCAAAGTCTGCACAATAAAACTCTGAGTCTTGTTGATGGACGAAGGGGCTGTGTGGCTACCAGGACCAGGATCATCCAGGATCCATTAAGACATGGATCTTTGCCTGGCCGTGATCTTTTGTGGCTCGAAAGATAAGGGTTGTAGATCAGTATGACTCAAAGTTCCAAGGCAACCTGAGCTGAAATCACTTATAACATCTTATAACTTATATAAGTGTCCACCACAGAAGGAACCATTATCATTCGATTCATGATCCATTGTTCTTGATCAGCTGCGGATGTACAAAAGACAAAAGACCGCTAGGTTTATGATCCCTGGCTCAACCAGAAGTGGCCGTCCCCTTCGAAGTCACTATTATAGGGGTTTCTTCAAGGATTTTTTCCCTTTCGTTGAATGAGATCTCTCGCCATGGAATGCGCCAGCCCTCCTGCATGGTACCACATTCCTCTGCTGCGATGGCCATGGACACGTCGTTGGAACCCACGCCGGGCGAGACTCTTCGTCGTGGTGTTCGTGGTTGCAGCTGGGTTTTAACCGCTCGGATCTGCAAAATTCCCCGTTCGAGTGATGCGACTGGGGTTGTTTTGGTCGTTTCGACTTTCCAGGCGAGGTTTCATGCTTCAAGAATTATTGTGTAAGCTTATAACTTATAATGCAATCCCCTGCAAAATTTCCTCTACAGATTCAAGGCACCCAGGTGCTCAAAATGACCATTTTGTAGAGAAAAAATTGGGTTTCTACAAAATGAACCACCTGGGTGGTCAAATCTGTAGAGTGATCAGGGTAGTTTTTGAGATTTTTAGCAAAACCATAATTTACTTGGGGGGATTGATTTTATAGAAACGTCATGTTCTTACATATCTTTCCGTTGACTCGAGCATGTGCACTCACCCACCATAATTTTGTAGAGGGTTAGAACCCATTTTGTAGAGATGGTTTGTTAAGCATCCTTCTGTTTACACAAGGGTGTGCACCCATCCACCATAATTTTGTAGAGGGTTAGAACCCATTTTGTAGAGATGGTTGTGAAATGCGTCGAGTTAGTAGCCGTGCTTGGCCGGGCTGCATTATGCGTGCTGGCTGAATTTTATTGGCCTTTAGCCTTCAACCAACTCTTCAAAACTGCTTTACAAAAAGAGGCGGTGTACATCGCGGAAAATGGCAGGTCTTTTGTTCCCTGCCACCCACATCCACCATTGGAACGCCTGCGCTCTTGGTAATAAACTCGTGGGTTCACTCGTTTCAAATTTCTTTTCACCAGTCGGGCCTAGGCTAGAACATCCTGGAACCATTCAGCTTTAGCAGATTCTACCTGAATTGCTGTTAAATCTCACGACAAAGCAAAAGCAACCACTTGTATGCGTCAGTCAAGGAACTTTGATTCGCTCTCTGTCCTTCTTGGTCAACTTCCTCTTGAGCTGCTTTGTTGACCTGTCGTGAAACACATTAGATTAAACTCCTCTGCGCCAACCACATTTTCTGCTTCAACCAAAAAATGAACCAAACTGAAATCACTAAATGGATCTCTTTGAGGCTGGCACTCCATGTTCGACAGCATGTGCGTAGGCTTGGCCAGATCATGGGAAAAGAAACCCATGTACGTGAGGACCACAAACCTAAGGATCAATGAGACAACCACCCTTCCAAGCTGGGACCCTCCAGGGGCCCTGATTTTGTAGAGATTGAGTGGGAGGTGGGGGGGATGGATATTCTTGAATTTGGCAAAGTGATGCCAGGTGAATTTTTTGATTTTGTTAAAACCAGGACTCTTCCGGACCCTCCAGGGG